CTTACGTTATCAAATGACCGCATTGCTTGACATAAGACTTTACCGCCGAAAAAGACATCTGGAATTCTTTGAGGACCCGTGCCTGATTTGGTTGTATCATGACGTCATCAAGACTTGTTTAAGTATGGCACTGCACATGAATTTTATCATAAATATACGTACTAAAATAACGTGTAAATAAACGTTTTGGCAAAAAATCTACCTGTGGTAGTAAAATTGCATTGCAATACAAACCGTTCCAAAAATGTTTTCATATATGATTTTAATCTGAAATATTTATTGCCGGTTTTTAATTCCATGCCTTGTTATTATATTAAATTCATAAGTGGTTTCGGCTTCCAATATTAGTCGGTTGTCAGCGATCCAGCTTCTTCTAGCATATCGTATGAGACCGGTATCTCCACCGTATCAGTTAATAATAAGGGTGCAATCCCACAAACGCCATGGGTCTACATGGATCGATCCAGCTTTGTGAGATTAACACGCCTCCTCCTGGCGTTAAGAAAAATACAGAAAAGCTGGTGATTATACGAGAACAACAGGAGGCGTGTCATTCAATTAAACTGATTACACTTACCGAGAGTAACCGCAGAGTTGGGACGATCCACGTAGATCGATGGTGTCTTTATGGGAATTGGGTCCAAGACTTCGCGAAGTTTGTTGTGCGCTAGTAATAGGCCACCATGAAATTTCGTTTATAATAAAATGGAGTTTATTTTGTTTACCTACATGTGCAGCACTTTAAAACCAATGATCAGAAAGTAATGCTTTACAATAAAACACTGTTTAACAATTAATTGTATACCTTTGGTCCATATCTAAAGCGTGTAACCTGTTAGCTATAGCCGGAGTAAATGCACCTCGAAACGCGCACAGAAAAAAATGTATAAAACCTATCAGACTTGTAATCATAAAATATTCGTTCTGGCGCCAACAGCTCGCCACCATCTGACGTGAAGCGCGGGAAGTGACGTGGGTTCAGAGGTGAGGGTAAGAAAAGGTTGACTTTTTAGTATAACATCCTCAATAAATGAGATCAGTCAGTCGAACAATCCATGCTTGGTATTATGGATCTGGTCACTTCAGAAATCATCTCACAACTATGACCAGCAAACATCCCAACCAGAGGTTTGTTTGGCGTTCGGAATTATCATCCACAATTTCCAGCATTACCATGACTAGGATTCTTAATATTGTATAAATTTTTCTGCATTAAAAAATCAACTATGTTTATTTACAAACGAACGCGAGGGGTAAGAGGGGTACCAGGGGTACCTTGGTCACATAGTCACGTGTGCTGTTGGTCACGTGGGCCTCATTGGTCATGTGACTGTGGTATTTACAAGTTTGTTCAGTTCGTTTTAGTGAAGAGATTTACCATCAACGGTCTAGATGGGCAAGAGAAAAATAAATACAAAACGTTGATGTTAACAGTTAACTCTCCAGAAATCGGCTTGGCTAAAGCAAACTACAGAGTATGGTACCAGTATTGTTGTGGCGTTGTGCTCGATTTAAAATCAAATGAGGTATAACATATTCCAAGGAATGGGGTTTGGAAGTGCAAAAGGATATTAACAGTGTGTGTGTGTGAAATGGAGGAATCGGTGTGTATTAGACAGGCGGGCAGGGCGGGTACATGTATAAGGTCCCATGCCTGATGTTTGAACGGCTTTATTTAATAGAGCAGGTGGTTGTTACATGTATGTCACTCTCCGGCAATTAAGTTCAGGGTTATATTATCCCTTTATTATCTGGACGACCCTAACACCTTTTGTAAATTTTTGTGAGTTTAAAAGAAAATGAAGTATGCAGATAAAACTCGCCACTCTATGGTGTAACTCAAACTATCGTATATCTCGAAATTTCATGTAAAGTTGATTTTTACATTGGTATAACATAAAGCTGTTGAACATTTTGCCTTACTCGAACCAAGTGTAACTTGAACTTAACTGCCCGGTCGAATGGTGTCCGAACATGTGGAGGCCACTAATTGTGTACTTTTTTAATTTTCGATATAATAGGAAAAATACGTCTAGGTACCGGGTATATTAGGCTAAAGGAGCACGTTTTGGAACATTTTAAGCACCTTGGCCTCGACCTGAATAAATGTTGTACCAGTAATTTTGACTACCTGACTCACTGGGACCGAGATGCATCACAGGCTAATGACATTTATAAAGCGGAATGGGAACAAATCATAGAAAACAGCGTGACAAATGCCAAAACATAAACTCCCCTCTCTACTATCATTTACTATCAGCATACAGCCATAACTATCTTCTGCTCTTTGCAGTAACACAGGTATGCTAGGAGTAGAAAAGAGAGAGTTGAAATACCCTGCTCAACTCCACTGTCTGATCACAGGGGCCGCTGTGTAGGGTAGTAGTCCGCTACAAAATTATTGTACCTAGACTTAGGCCCCATTCAGAATAGGGGACTAGTTACAAGTCCGAGGGTCAAATATGGCCGACCCACTTGTTTCCCCCCCCCCCCCCCCCAGGGATATCTATTCAGCGACTATTAGCGGATTAGACGGCAAGCGTTGTAGTGGGTCACCATATTTGACCCTTGGACTAGCTAGCCCCCTATTCTGAATGGGGCCTTATATTCTGTATACCTATTTAGAGGGTCCTGATTTCAACAGGTACCTAAACTCAGGGTGTTCCAAAAGGGTGTTAAAATCACACGAAGCGTTCATCTTGCCTCACCTAAAACGGCAGCGTGCTGATTGAACTCCATATCAAATAAACTGAATTAAAGATCAAGTACGGTACGGACACGTGCGTATCATTTTGTGCTGATGGCACTTAACGTGGATACAGTGATTGTACCTTGCGGGTTCTATAATACCGGGTTTACAGAGAAAATGAACTGATGACCGAAATACGGTCTTGAATTATAAACCGAAAATGCTGGCCTATGTGTTAAGCGAAGATCCATCAAAGACCACTATAATAATAATAATAATTTATTCAGCTTTTGAATGTAACTATGAGTATTTACTGTTTTGAAACGTTACCTTTACCTTTCTTTATAAAATAGCCAAAATATGTCAATTAAATGAACTAAAAGTACTGTTGATTTATTTTGGAAGAAAACTTTGCTCAAAAACTTACGATCAACCTTCTGTTTAAGCCTCTATGATAAACCTCGGCTCTTGTCCTCAGTATTGTTGCATTTTCCGTGTTCTGTTGACGCTAGGGTCTTTAGACTTTTTAAATTAAAATATACACTCCGTAAAAATATTAAAATACACCGAGAGATGGGTTGTGGAAGGACAGCAACAATGTACATCGACAGTACCCTAATTATCCACCTCACATGAAGCCACCGTCAAGGCTGTAGGTGTTATGCAATTTCGCAGCGGATCTCAATCTTGTTTTTGCGTCAAATAACCAAATATATTAGGTCCAAGGTCTTAGCTTCTGTCTGGATGGTGTATCGCAAACGCCAGTAATAAGCAGTATAAAGAACTGCAAACCTCATTATTTTTTCTTAGAAATTAGAGGTTTTCCTCCTTTCCTAGAAAATGGTTGTAGATTTGCAGCTGCGTAATTTCCTATCAAACTCTATTGCCTCCATCTAATTTAAACTTGATAAATAAAGCTCAGTGTACACTGTAGACAACGTGCTGAGCTACAGAAGACAAAAGTTGTCAGCTTAACTTAACCTCGTTTTAGTGAATCTTTCGTCCCAGTGGAACTACGGCTGATGCCAAACATTCATCTAAAATGCTGATCTCTACGCAGCCCAAACGCAAAGGCTCAGCTTGTAGAAGTGTGTGCGCCGGACTTGTGCTTGTTTTTTCCCCCCATCTGGGACGATTCAACGATGTACCGCACGATCAGCGTAAACGATCAGAGCGTGGAAATGTTACAGTTTTAGAGATAAATGGAGGAACATTTCTTGCGGGAGTTGATAACCGATCACATTGGAACACAGCAAATAAGCAAAACCACTGAAGTGTGCTTGAGGGAGTATGGTAAAGACGACTAAAATGATGATACTTGTTCCTGAGGGCGATTATTCGATTTCTGGTCAAAATGAGTCTGGCTCAAGAGCTTAACTAAAGTTATATTCATGTCACGTGAACAAAAAATTTACTGGGATACAACACTGAAAGTACAGAGTTTCTAGCACGCAGGATTACTATGGATTACTAGCAATTGATCACTTCTGACTCTTGAGATGAAGGTGCAAATACAACAAGGAATCAACAAATTGTGTTTAAAATTCGCTATGATAACGTCACTTAAACGCCTCATCAAAGCAACATTACCACTGTTGCAGGTGCTAAATCCACCTGTTACGTGTACGTAACAGACAATTTCCCGAGATATCTGTTTTGATTAAGAGCAATTCTGCCAAAAACCTGTGGTAGTTCCTGCTCTAGACAGCTGCCCAGAAATTTACACGTGGTATGTGGACATTTATGAAATCTACACACTGTCTGGAAATGTAACATTATACTGGTTGTCGACAATAGGCTTAATATTATTACCAGTCCTTTTGTTCAACATTCTGCCATGTCTACAGTATATTGGTTTGGACTCTCTCTCTCTCTCTCTCTCTCTCTCTCTCTCTAAATACCCAGGCATTTATACGGCTATAGTTATACCCCTTACACAGTTTAACATATACATGTCTAGCAGTTCTCGTTCATAAGCCCTTCTGTATCATCTATATTTGTATTAACTAGGGTTTTAAAATCTACCCTGAGTCTGTTCGATTTGATTTATATATCATTATTTAGACAAAAGTGCCAAGTCTGCCTATGATTTACACACAGAGGACATAGAAACCTTTTAGTACTATGTGTCTTAATAATTTCCAACCCACGGTAATTCGACGTATTTATTTTTGGCTTTTAGCTGCTTGGATCTGTATCATGTCTTCAAGCACATTTTTGAGAACGTCTGCATGTAATTAAAAAATATTCGTAACGGCAGATTTAATTATCTACTGCGCACACGCACGTGCGAGCACGCTCGACAACGTACCTCCTTTCAGCTTCTGGACTGCAACAGAAGCTCCCGGCTTATCCGAGCTTATGTCTTCATCCCGTCCGAGTAGTCTGAATGTGAACCGTGGTGTCTGGGCGGCAAATTTCCACCGATATCGCCGTATTTTTCTATGAGGTAATCTTTTCAATCTGCAGCGGATGATTGTTTTTTCTCCGTTTAGTTTTCACCGCGGGACTCAGGCGGAGCAGAATATTCAATGTATACAGTGCTCTCTGGCGAGCGCTTCTGGCAGCTTGCTTCAATAATTTGTAAAAAAGAGAACCGCGATACCCAGACTGTATTGAATGTTGGCAAGTTCCATTCGGGGCTATATACAGTGCCCGTCGCTTTATTATTTGTTGTGAATGCCACGCACCTCATAAGAAAGTCGAGACAAGAGATAGATTTTTTTTCAAGAAAGTTTCCAAAGGTCGGCACATTTTTTCATTGAAAAATATCGAGCCCAAATCTCCACTGATGGCCCTCCTCGTGAATAATACATCGCAGCGGTAACGAAATGGAACCTCGTGAGGTTTGAGATGCAAATTTCGCGTGAGATTATCGCCGAAAATGTCAAATTCTTGAAGGAAATCCGCTTAAGTTTCGTGCACAGAGACAATCGATATCATTAATGGCATTACGATCAGTGTCTATGAAGATGAATAGCGTGCGGCAGGTGCGTACAATAGTAGCCATGCCCCTCTCAGTACTTTACTAGTAGCAAGAAAAGATGAACGAGCGCTCGAGGACCTTTTAGATTTGCCAGAAATGTGCTCGCCGCTTATCGACGATTTCCTGCGTTCACTGTCCACTCTAATGATGTTTTCCCAACGGCGATTTGCTGGTGCCATTTTGTGTACTCTTAGAAAGCATTTAGAATGATAATGTACTTAATTGCAGGCGAGTCATGCTGCGTTTCAGCACCAAGCTATTCTGTAAGAAAATGCATGTATTTTTTCCGCAGTAGGAAGAAAATGTTGTGAATAGATCTATGTTGGCTTTGTTTTACAAGAGTTGATTTTTCCTGGCTATCCAATTCAAAAACGATAAAAACAATTACGTGACGCGCGTTCCCCTCCACATCTACTTCCACCTACCCATCTATCTTTAATAATAATAATAATAAAATTAATGATAATAATTATAATAATTATTATTATTATTAATTATTATTATTGTTGTTGTTGTTGTTATTGTTGTTTCATGTCCTAAGGGGTACCTGTGTGATATACAGCAGTTGGTAAGCAATTTTAAAATAATGGCACCTAGTATTATTGCCTCCCAGCCAGCAATTGCTGCAATATCCCCAGACTGCCATTATACCTCACTACACATTGCCTTGTGCAGCGTGGACACCTTTAATGCTCTTGTTTCTGAACGAAAGTAATATCAGTTGCCCTTGCTGAATTGAAATAATTGCATGAGCAATTATCATTAAGCACTGCTACGAAAATGGTTGGTTCTATTCGATGAAAACAAAAATGAGGTTAAATGTTGCGGTACAGTTGATTTCAGGTAAAACTAGGGATGACGTCAATCACCAGAAGTGAATGCTCATTATTATTATTATTATTATTATTATTATTATTATTATTATTATTATTATAATTACTGAATTTGAAATATCTGTATGACAAAACCTTAGTGATGTTCTACAAAAAAAAATAATAATAAATAAATAAATATAATAAAAAATAAAAAGAAAAGAAGAAGAAGAAGTAAAAACAGAGTTGGGAAGGCATTCAATACCTGTTCTCAATGACTTAATATTTTTAAGGTGTAGTAATTTTAATAGGTGGAGCAAAGGGCACCATCGCTGAAAAGATGCCTATAGATTTACTTCCTATACGTCAGATGCCATTTTATTTTCACACAAAATGTGCTCTGTATTCTGATGCGGAACATTTGTAATCAATTTGTTCGTGACACATAATGCACGGATATTTAACCCTGTAACACTCACACAACTAACCAATTAGGCCGGGGAAAAGAACGTTAGTTGTTATTGTAATTTCAGGATAAACGATGGCGGACTGACCAAGAGCGCATGTGTGTTAATTAACAAATTTTCTTGGAGCCAGCCTCACTTTATAGCATAAGCCCCTACTGGGAATGTCTAAATGTCAACATATACATCTTGTGTATCTCTTGGTTATATAATTGCTCTTGTACTTGCATTTGTACTCCATAAAAGCCATGTACTAATGTAGTTAGTTCCTTCTATATATCCTCTACAACCAGTATAAAGCTCTTAGGGAAAAAACTAACTCCAGGGAACAGTCTCGTTTTCGTATGGAATTCATTTAAATTTTTAAGCGATCTGAGTCGATAGAAGCTACGACGAGCACGCCTAACTAAGCCCGTGGCAAAGTGTACTTTTCTTTATCTTAAAGATTTGAGCGACGAGTCTTAATAGAATTTACGGCTGAAATTACAAACAATGTGTCTCACAGCTGGAGAATATTCGTGTTATTTATTCAAAAAGATTCCACGGGGATATATCTTGGCGCTTGCATTAAATGTGCAAAATAAACTGGAAAAAATCTTGGCAAGGCAGAGAAATGACAGAGTACAGTTTACCTTTTCATATGATATGAAAATAGCTGATGATCGATAGGTGGCGTTCACACAAGGATTAAATTGGACCTGAACCAGGTCTAAATATGGCCGCTACGCTAACAAATGAATCAATCACTAAGAACCAATTCAGAACAGTAGATAGAAGGATCTTCTGATCCACGGATCAAATATGGCGGACCCTACGTGAAAGAAGAGCCGACTATTCGGCTGATATTCTCCAAGCCTCCACACGCGCCATTAAACAGATCAATGCGAGGCTTAATAGCTGGACCCCTGCAAGGACAGAGCGTGTGGAGGACTATCAGCACATTGGTCGGCTCTTCTTTCATGTAGGGTCCACCATATTTGATCCGTGGATCAGAAGATCCTAGGATCATCTGCTTTGAATGGCCTCTAATTTTGATGTCTATAGCTCGATCGCCATCCATTTTCGACAACTGACAGATATTATTTTTCAATGGAGGATCATCAGGGTCATCAAGCACAGCAAGGCATGTTGTCGGATAGCTGCTGGTTCTCGCGGTGACATTGATTTAATTACTATTTAGTCGGTTTGTTTGGCTCGAGGTCCTGTCAAACCAAGGACTATTGCAATTTAAGACTGTTGGGAAAAGTGCTAATTTTTTTAATCAAAGTTTGTGAATTAGAAAGTAATTGGTTTGATTGGTTGCAAAGCCGATCCACAGGATCATCAAACCCATCAATACGAATGTATGGTCAACGAAGAGAGAGAGAGAGAGAGAGAGAGAGAGAGAGAGAGAGAGAGAGAGAGAGAGAGAGACCTTGTAGATAGTACTGAATATCAGATACATAGCCCTACCTTGTTCAATTAAGAGTCAGCGCAGTTAACTGAGAATAATCCAATAATCCAAAACTCTTCTTAGAGATTTCCAATGATTTCTTTGTCCAGACGCCCTTTTCCAAAGTCCAGATATATCTGCTCTTTTGGTTCACTTTGACTCCTAGAAATGACTAAATCTCCATGTTATCATTCCATTCTTAATATAACGGTGTAATCTTTACCAGTTTCACAAAAGAAATTAAGACCGAAATTGGGTTCCTACTTTAAGGCCTGGTGGACTAATTACTTAAATTCAGGATAAATCTGTAGGCATAATCTTATAAGCTGAAGGAACTTTGGGTGTAGGTCTAAAGTATAATTCATTTCTTTATTTGAATAAATTTATGCAGGTACAATATTTCATAATCCAGTTACTGACATCTACTGATGTATACATCTTAGTTCAACGTTGGCCAAAATTGGTCTTGACGTTAAAACCAACTTTCAGTCTTAGCCTCCTCAAGGGAACTGCTTGTCCCCTGCATCAGTTATAGCTCATAGTCAAAAGCTGGCTAATATTATGACAACAAATCTCCACGGCATCATAACACAGATAAGGAGGAGAGGATAACAAACGTTCATACCATCACGAGTTCTGTCTCATAGACACCCAGGGTGGTTGCACGAAAGGATTTAGACTGAAAGTTGATCCAAACTTTTAGACTACTATTAGTCTGCTTGACCACAGCTAAATCAGTAGCAGTCAATTTGTAAACTTGAAATGCTTAGTCCGTTTTATAACTTGGTGTTTTGAACAAATGCTTACTCTATTCAGTGCACTACAGCAAGTTAAACCTGAACTAACATTGACCTAACTTTCGCTCTTAAAGTTGAGACCAAATTTCGATCTTAAGTAATTTCGATAGAAGCGATTCCAGATGACCCAACCAACGGGACAAGATGCCGACTTCCGATAACAGTGTAATGTTAGTAAGTGACAGCATGCAGCGAATAAGAGCGGGGAGTGTTTTGTAGTGTTACTTTAGTTGATTGACACGACCTTATTGTACTTAAGCGAAGAATGTAATGTAGACGGGGAGAACGATATAAGAGGTTGAACGGAGAGGAACAAACTGTAGATAGCGTAGTTAGAAAGCGATAATAAAGCATATGGAAAAACATGGAATTGTTTAGTTGTTACCTCGCGCCACCAAGTCAAAGTCAGTAGCGTCGTCACATATGGTGGAGGATGCAAAAAGATAAAGAGACTTTCGATATGAATAATGTCAGATAGAGAAGGACCAGTCACCAGACAGACATACAGACGCGAACGTATTCTATCCGAAAAGAAGATGGCGACGGGACCCGCAAGAAAATGCAGTAGTATCGAAGTAGCAAAGAAGCGTTAACGCAGTAGTGGTGTGGAGCATTAATGCAGTAGATTAGCAGCATGAAAGAAGCATGTTTCAAATATGCTAATTAGCTCCCACATCGAAGCAGATTTGAAGCATGTTTGCAGTATAATTGCAGTAGTCTACTGCGCTGGAGTATCTACTTCGTTTTCGTGCGGGTCGACAAACAAAGGAAATGAAAGGTAAGGAAGAACCTTTTGATTTTTTAGATATTCGAGACCAGCTAGAAGATATTCATATGAAATTAGATGTTATGGGTAAGGGTGACCCTCTTTTACACGCAGTTCAGAGGCAACTTACAGTATTAAACGAAAAACCAACTTCCGTTTCTGCCGGTCCAAATATTGATACATTCTTTGGCTTTTCAACAGAAAACGCGCGGTTATGGCTTACGAGGTTCGAAAATTTCTGCAATTTGAATAAATATTCCCCAGATCGGAAATTGAATGCCTTTATGCTGTACATGAAAGGCCCTGCTGAAATATGGCTATCCGAATTGTCTGACGCAAGAAAATCGAGTTACGATGTTCTTAAAATTGAATTTCAAAACAATTTCGACAGACAAACGTNGAGTTATTATTATTTTTATTATTAGCATAAGTATTATTGTTGGAAAAATTATCGTATTATTAGCATGGTTCCATATATGTTTTATTGTTATCATAATATTTTGGATGGATAATACCATGGCAAGTTAAAATCTTGCCTGTTAAATGTGACTGTATTCAAGTTTGATGATGATTGTTATAATATACGTAGTTAAGTTTTTCTTGACATGCATTTCTGCTTTATTCATTTTGGATATATTCGTAAACGCTGGACATAGACATTCGTGGATATACAGGAAACTGTGAACATTTATCTACACGTATGCCAACGTGCGCGAATAAGACGTTTATCCATATACAATGAGTGGCAGATGACAATCGCTATGCACTGTCTAGAAGGACTGATTTTACACTATGTGCTAACTGAACTTTCGTGCTAAAATTCAAGGAGGATGTAACGGACCATACCAAATGGAACTATTCATTTGTGGGAAATGAACTTTAGATTTTATTGGTTAACTTTGCGTCAAATGTTATTGCATGTGGTTATAAGAAAATGTTAAATATTGTGTATTGAATATTAAATACGTGACTTATGAGAAGTATGTCTTTATTCAGCCTGTCGGTCTTATAGTTATTAGTTATTGGTATTTAACTATACAGTTATTGGTATAGGAACAGTGCACTTAACCTTTATAAAGATGAAGACATGAAATTGATCATATGCATTAAGGAAGATTCTTACTTAATTATTTTTCGGTATGTTTTTTGTTTAATCGTGGACTGGGTTTGATATAAAATGATTGTTTCTCTTATAGTCATTAAAAGAGAGCGCTACAGTGTGGACAAATATGAAGATGAACAGGTACTTCATCATGAACGATGCGCTGGTCGTACCGTTGTGGTGAATGCTATTCATCGGACAGGGAGTAGCTAACCCTATTGTCTCACGTAGTGCATACTTTATCTGAAATAACAACTAGAAAAGAGAAACCGTATATAAAATGTGTCAGAGCCATAATAAGAGAGTAACAGATTTAAACATCTGCGCAGAGAAAACATTCAAAAGTATCTGTACTCTTGGGCCACACATGACAACATGTAAATGCACATCCACGAACAACCATATTTTCTGAAGAGTTGTCAATCTATCTTCCTTTGAGTTATATTTTGGGTTTCATGTCCAACGTATTTCTATTTTATCATAAGTTTCTTATAAAATATCTATGTACTTAGTTTAGTTTTGCATGGATTTATGGTAAAAGAAAAATGGAGTGTTTAAAATTTATTTCAATGTGAATTTTTATTTTAAATATGCCTAGGGACAGGCATATCGTCCCCGGGGGATAATGTAATGTTAGTAAGTGACAGCATGCAGCGAATAAGAGCGGGGAGTGTTTTGTAGTGTTACTTTAGTTGATTGACACGACCTTATTGTACTTAAGCGAAGAATGTAATGTAGACGGGGAGAACGATATAAGAGGTTGAACGGAGAGGAACAAACTGTAGATAGCGTAGTTAGAAAGCGATAATAAAGCATATGGAAAAACATGGAATTGTTTAGTTGTTACCTCGCGCCACCAAGTCAAAGTCAGTAGCGTCGTCACAANCTAAATCAGTAGCAGTCAATTTGTAAACTTGAAATGCTTAGTCCGTTTTATAACTTGGTGTTTTGAACAAATGCTTACTCTATTCAGTGCACTACAGCAAGTTAAACCTGAACTAACATTGACCTAACTTTCGCTCTTAAAGTTGAGACCAAATTTCGATCTTAAGTAATTTCGATAGAAGCGATTCCAGATGACCCAACCAACGGGACAAGATGCCGACTTCCGATAACAGCACGCGGGGGGACAGAGTTCGTCAGCACTTGATGACCTCCAAAAATCGGGTATGTGCTTTATATACAATGTACAATGTAGCCTATTGTGGTATGACTGTAAGGATCTAGTGTTCCTGTTTTTAATTAGTATGAGTGCATGTAAAAGCAAATGAAATAGGGAAATTCGTAAAATACGTACCGTAGGGCTGATATCAAAACACAAGGATTGAAGGACCGATATCAGGGATGCAACCACGTGCGCGCTACGGACAGGGAATCAGTTAACTACTCAGGGAAAACCGTTGACCCATGTATCTGACAATACACTATCAATCGTAAACCATTCACACAAATGAATATGGCTGGACGGTGACCGCAACTGAGCAGAAACTTATGTCAAATAACTAATAGTAATACTGCATGAAAGTCCATTCGGTTTTTATATCACTCTATGCGCGATGATAGCAATTTTTTTATTAGAAGGGTGGGAAACGTTAAGTTTCTCCATATATATTTGACCAATAATGCACTAACAAACCCATTTCCCGATATACAGCAACTCGTTATAGCATGCCAAGCGCTGGCAAATCCCTACTACATACAGCGTGGCGCTTTTGTTATTTAGACATCATTTGAATATTTCTTTTAGCAATTACAACACAGTCCAGCTGTAAGCAAACGATCATTTATCTAACACTGCGTAAGGGTGAAACAAGAACGTAGGTGTTTCGTGCGTCATTACGATCTACTTTTCATTTAGTTCTAGGGACAGAGAATCGATTGCCAATGTTCTGAAGTCAAACTTCATAGCCGATCTTCCGGAGATTACACCTCCTCGGAGCGTTCATTAACCTTCTGCGTCTCCTTGAAAACCTTTATTAGTTATGGCACTGGCAGAGTCGTTTGATAACGATTAAATATACACATTGAACTCTGGCTGCGTGAAATACTGAACATGTTTCTCAGTGTAGCGTCTTACTTGTCACAACCATAAGCTATTAAAGCGGTTACTAGGCTTCGTCTCACCTAGCACAATTGGCACATGTAGTATAAAGAAATGTCATCTCACCTAACACAATGGAATAAACTGCGCTTGACGTCAATTGCTTAATGTTGAAATTGTATTCAATATTGATTTTTTGACGGTTCAGAAAAAAAAATATCTGAACTAAGTCGGAATTTTTTCCTTGCTTCATCAGACGTAGACTTGGTAGCACCGCTCACAAGAAAGCAAAGGTCGAATTTTCACCGACAGATCCGTAGTCGCTCACCGTTAGATACGGGTAAGACATTTGCGGGAACAAACTTCAAACAAACAAATAATAAATGCATAAACGAATAAATAAAAGATGAACCTATCTCACTGTGCCATCGATTATCCCTAAACTTTGTTTTCAACAGATCTAAAGAGCAGAAGTTTAGACTTTTAAATCTATAATAATACCGTATAACAACACAGTCAGTGGTCCCTGGTGTAATAGAGACTACTGCTACATTCGAGACCCTTATATCGCCTTTAAAGCGTTCAAACAAACCCTTGCATAATCGCGTAATAAAGAGGCCGGTGTAACAGGAATTAGGTCCGCTAGGAACCGTAGTCCGTTCCCCATTACTTTGTACAGGTGACATTCGTCCCACATACTAACCCCAATACTTCAACTAACCCTAACCTGTACATATGGGAGCCAGGACTTCCATTCCCATTTCGCCGGCCGCCATTTGATTTCTACACGTGCCGACAAGCTCCGTCCTAGATTTTGACCCTCTTTTCACACCCTAACCTGTACGGTGTACGCAGAGGGCGTACTGCCTCTCGGGGTGTTCTGTCACGGTGCTCCAGTGATTTATCTACGCCAGGGACACTTTAACTTGGATTACTAAGTTTTTATAACACAACCACATCAAACAGGTTACACATTTATTTCACCTTTTAGATGTTAGCACATACATTACAGTTGCATTCCTTTCCGCATGATGTTTTATCAATTTTACAAGCAGTTGTCTGTATATTAATTTCTCATCTACTGTTCCACGTTCACCAAGCAAACTGAGGCTAAAAATTATAACCTTGGGTCTCATCGTTCCTTAACCAAAAACCCTTCATTCACCATAGCTAGAACTGGTACCTTGTGAACTGATGTTAATGTCCCATAATACCAAATCTGAGTAAAGTCATTGGTTATTTTCATCAACATAATATGCACGAGCCCAATTTTAAGTTAATATGTCCAGATAACGAAGCAAAACATTTAGCGCAGGTACATTTTACACTTCTCGACAAAGCGGTCATTAGTATTGAAGGTGCCATCTTGCTATCTGCTTCACATAGTGAATATTTTGCTAGCTCATTCATGGTAAAAATGTCTATAAGCCTGAAAACAATCACGGCAAATATCTGATGTAAAGCATTAAAAATTACCATACTTACAATTTTGGATAATGAGAATTACATACAGTAATTTGGTCTTATTCATAAATTAGGTTAAACCCTGTGGTCATATCTAAATATAAACCCAATTCACTTACAGAATACCGAATAAGAAAATATGAATAAATGAAAAGAAAACAAATTCCTTTATAAAATACTGTGGCTTATTTTCATGTTTCAATATTCCAGGCACAATTATGTTTGTACAGCATATAAAATTATAATTCACCACAATACAGAAGAGGCCATATGTGGATGTAACCATGATAACATTTCATTCTGGATATTTCACATAAAATGCTCCTATTATAAAACAAAAAATCTATACACTGAATAAATCAAAAAAATATCTTTTTTTTTCTACTACAATATGAAAAACAAGGCAAAGGATGTCTTTTTTTTTTTTTCAAAAACAACTAAATTACTACATTCATTTTCTTACATTTCAGTGTTTTCACAAAAAAGCATGCATCACAAGTTTCGGCACACCCCCCCCCACCCACCCACCCAACCCCTCTAGGTGTTGTCATTACTTTGAATATGTCATATTACATAATGGATAATTTATTTTTCTCTGTCCATATATTTCATTTCTTCCCCCACCCATTGTAACAAGTATTGTCATATCTTTTAACACATCACATACAATAATGTATATATTTCATGTTTTCTCTGCCTGGTATAGCCAGTCTCTGTATGCCTCTGTTTTAGCTAGCAGAATTGGGTGCAATCACTAATCTGTACAGCAATGCTGCGGCTATGGCCATACCCAGGGGTATTAACCAGCTGGCCCACGTACTGAAATTGGGGGGGAAAAAAGACATGATCAGGTCAATGTGTAAGTAACCAGCAGAAGATGACTAGGACTGTGATGGCATTGTCTCTTCATTAAGGCCACATTCAGAACAGTGGACCAACTACTAGTAGGCTGAGGGTCAAATATGGCCGACCCACTTGAATACTTTCCCACGGGATATATATTCAGTGCAGTTCAGACGGCATGCTTTGTACTGGGTGGCCATATCTGACCCTCGGAGTAGTGAGTCCATTGTTCTGAATGCGGCCATTGTCTTCATTAAGAGGACCTTTTCTAGTCCCTGAATGTTCACCTGCAGCTGCTGTTCACCTGAGCAATAACACACCAAGATAGCCTTAAACTGTTGGTTTGTCAACTACCGAAAGCAAACCAAGCTAGGATATTAGATTTTTTGTGAAACACTCATAGTCGACAACAACTTAGTTGACTTAGCTAGAGCATTTAGCTCAAGCTAGTTGACTATGGATATAAGATTCTTTGATTCTGATTTGGGGCTGGTTAAAGCAATCACTGGAAATAATCAGACAAAGCCCAATCTGATACTCTGGAGATTTGAATTCAGGGGCCCCCATCCTCCTCCTTGTCTGGTAAAACGGGGTAGTTTCACCCAGTGTTTTTGCTGTGAACCATCAGTCAATATCATCACAGTCTTAGTAATCATATATTACAAGTGTAAGCTGTTGGGAGTTCAGAAATTGATTTTGACAAAAAAAAAATAAATAAATAAAATAATAATAATAATAAAAAAGTGTACTTGTCACAGTTTTTCCTTATCTCAACAAATGCATAATATAAATCTTTGTAAATGTATGTAGAAACAAGGGTCTGTTTGCATACAAAGTAACTCTATGACTCAACACAAGTGTGCAATTTGGACTACCGTGTTTACAAAATAAAACGTGATTCATTTTTCAATGTGTCTAAAACACTACATCTCTTTGTTTTTCTTGAGAAACACCTTCATCTAGGCGGACTCCTACAGATTTATATCTAACTAAACACACAGGAGACAAAAAAGGACAAATTTAAAACTACTTACTTTCCATCACTGTCTGGCCCACTAACAGTACTAGTTTTCTAAAATAAACAAAATGTGTACTTAATATTTTCTACAGTCACTTCGACATAAAATTCTCCATTACATACGTGTAATATGGCTTTTAAGAAATAAATTTTCATATCATGCCAGGATATTATGTGGGAGATAGACATTATGTAAGTGCATACTTTACAGTTAAATTAAATGCACAAACGATACCATGCAGCAGATTGTAAAATACTACGTCACTTGTTAAAGCTGATATAAGTTTATTGGATATTCTTTGAAAGATCATGCTTGAAAAAGACGACTTCTATTATAAAAATTTGACAAAACTTACTCTTATCAAATAAATACCTTACATAACATAAGTGAATAATGAAAAAAAATACAGTAAACTACCTAAAATTTCACAGATCTACCAACACCAAAATAATTTTATGTATAATTTTTTGTGTCAGAGTTCTCAAAATTTTAGAAAGAACACTGTACTCACTGGCGGTGGCCTTGCCTTTCTATCATCCTGGAAAATGACAAGAGAAAAACAGTAAACAAAACAAGTGAGAATCTCTTACATACTGCAGACTCAACATACCTCAAGGGCATTGGGGCCAGAAAATTAGTTCGTCTTGTAAACATTAAGTTTGGAGTAAGGCAATGTTAACAGAAGTCACAGCTAGGTTTAGTATAAAAATAAAATAAATAAAATAAATTAAAAAAATTTAAAAAAAAAAAAACGCCTCCACAGACTCAGATCCAGATGCACAGTAAACAATAATTTGAGTAATAAGGTAAGGAGTAATGCTCAGCCAAGTGTTCATCAATGACAGAAAGCCAGGAAATACTGTAATCAACTGTGTTCAACATGAAGTGCCAGAGAAAGTTTCTTTAGCCAACAGCTAAAATTAGAGTTATTTTGTTCAAACACTTATAATATCTACTAGAAAACAGTTGCCAACCACACGTTGTCTGTTTATGAAATGACTCAGACACAATTAAAACTACAGATAATCAAGCTGACAAAACATCCAATTTAAAAAAAAAAATGTTTTTCATCTTACAAATGTTGAGAACTACAGACAAGTGGAATTTTCTTGAACTCCCTCTAAAGCTGCCAATAACAGAAGAGCAATGATGATTTGTTTAACTTTGTTTACTTTGGTTATCTGAAGCTGGGAGTGAATTGCTGAGAAAAAACAGACTAGTGAAATCTTCCTTTCCTTTTTTACATGCTAAAGCTACCAATGATGGAGACGGGATTTTCACCTCACAAAGAGTGGTCAATAACAATATTTGTATTTCCATTATTAAATACTCTGCTCAACACACTATTTTGTCAACAACAATTTATGACATACAATGCACAGTAATAATAAATAAATAAATAAATAAATAAATAAATAAATAAATAAATAAATAAACTTTTCTCCTAGCCCCCTCACCGGATGTAGCTCTCCTATTAGATAATCCTCCATAAGCTGCCTTGCATCCGTGGAATGTCCGACATCTTCAAATGCCTCAGTGCCATCCTTGCCTGGATAAAAAAAAAAGGAAACAGCTGGGTTATATATAACTTTTTTCAGAGAATGTGGCTAAGAAATATCATTTGAGAAGCTTGTAAATTGACAGTAATTCAATCTCTTTCAGTCAATTCAAGTCATAACTTGGAAAAAGTCTGATCCTGCATCAAGTTTCCAGGAATTTCCAGCCGTCTATCACAAAAACTTGATGTTGATGTGTGTGGGTTGTCAGTAGCAACCTGATCAGGCGAATAATGAATTGTCTCTTTCCACTGACTTCAGGAGATTAACGAGACTGGTTTGCCACCCACAGACTCTTACGTATACAGTAGCCTACTTGTGACAATATGATTTGAAATGAGATAAAATGTAACTTTTATAACCATAATAAGATTTATTGCTTTACTAGGGATAAATTTCAACTGGGAGGTCACAAAGAAAATACTAAAGAAATGTTTAAAACTGACTAATATTGAAAATGTATGAGAGTATAACTGGCTCTGAATAGCCTTCACAAACAGAGTATTTCATCTAAGACTGGGTTCCCATGCTTAGATCGATCCATCTGGATTGGTTAAACACCCCGGGGAGTCTCACTAAATTGCTATCAACTAACCAGCTTAAGTGTCTGCCACGCCTACCACATCAGCTAGGGGGTAAAGATAATTACCCCCTAAAAGATTTACTAGGCCTGACAAACATTTAAGCCGGTTAAGTTGATAGCAATTTAGTGAGACTCCCCAGGGAGATAGATCGATCTAAATATCTGTAGGAATGGTCCCTAAGCTGCACATGCATCAGAAAACTCGGCCAATATCAGACATGAATATTTTTCATGTATTAGTAGCTGGTATCATTTTGTGGAGTCAAAAGAATTATGAAAATCAAAGTCTTTATAATTATGAGGGGTCTAATCCACTTACTTGCATCGTTTTATTTTGTACTGTATGTTGTTTAACACTGCATTTTTTTGTCTCCGTAATAATTCAAGAGCCTTTAAATAAGACATTTCTGTGCTCAATAAATTATTATTTTTATTATTTTTTATTTTATTATGTGCTTGAAAATCAAAACATGTTTAAGAGGAAAAAACACCACATTAATATAATGTCACATAATATAATATCTTAATAATAATAATAATAATAATCACTGGTAAAATTTTATACTTTTATATATAAAATCTTCAATCTATGGACAGTATGGGTACTAGTAGGTATTTTTTTACAACTCTGGCTTGATCTTTATGGATGTGTTTTATCCTTCACACAGACCCAGATGTAGTCTCACACATGGGAACTCTCCTTGCCTCACCTCAGGTAGGCCCTCTAATTTTTGACCTCAATTTTGATAACAGAAAACAGGTGTGAACTTTCAAGGCCATGGTGCGAAAAAAAACATATGATCAAAGATATATGTTTCACCTGAATGACATAGATAACAAGGTAGACACGCTGTACTTAAACTGTGTGTGTGTGCGTGCCATGCTTTGCATGTTAAGTCAACACCTCTCTATGTTAAAATTGGATGTTCAAAGCATTCCAATTAAAACTGTGTCTCAACTATCTCTGTTTCACCCCACCCAAGGTCCAACTCCCAAAGATTGCTTTGTAAGGTTCTACAATTTCTGCTGCCTGTGTTTTACAATACCTTCTGGTTAGATTTTAAATACACCCCAATAATACAGCCAAAGCAGTTGAAATAGTTAAAATATAACCTATGGCACGACTGCCTTTCTTCAAAATCCACACAACTGTATCACACAAGTCAAAATGCATGTCACCATTTTGAACACTGCTCTTAGATATACTGACAGGGAATACATCACCTGAGGGGGGGGGGGGTGGTGCTATAAATATTGTGTGATTTCTTTAGTTATTATTAAAATAGCTTACTAATATGTCCAGACCATCTCTTAACTTTTTAAATTGTTTTAAATGTACTTACCTGACTGTTCTAGTAGAACCTCTTCACCACCCGGGTGCTGAAATATGAAAAGAAGAATATATACTTAAAGGGATAATAACTCTTCGTACGATATCTATATTTCACAATAAAAACATTGTGAACAACTCATAGAAATATAATAAATTCTGTTTTACCACAAAAACGGCAATTATAGCTATTATTCTGATATCTGAATTTGTCTTCAGATCACGTGACCTTCATTGATGGCTGTACTCTGTTATAATCTCTTAAGAGATTTTAACAAAAAAACAAACTTTTTAGAAAAAAACCAGGGACTAACTTTGAATGTAAAAATGGATTCATTAACCATTGGTAAGTATGGGAAAATTGTTGTTTACTCCAGGAAAATTCATTTTTTGGCCAAAACGAAGAGTTATTATACCTTTAACTTAAAGTCATAATAACTCTTCATTTTGGCCAAAAATTGGATTTTCCTGGAGTAAACGGCAATTTCCCCATACTTACCAATGGTCAGCAACCCCATTCCTGCATTCAAAGTTAATCCAGGGTTTTTTTCCTAAACATACGGTTTTTTGTTAAAATCTCTTAAGAGATTTTAACTGACGGAGCTCTCTCTGACATCGCATAGTCACTGTTGACCTACTTAAAACCGCGGGAAAAGCAGACAACAACAACACTATATAAGATTCATGAGATATATTCGTCTTTTTGTTAAAAATACATTAATATCCACAATGTGTGCCATTCTGGGCTTTTCGTTATCCGACGCACTGTACAAAAACTCACAACTTACGTCTGCATCTGCATTAATGCGTTTGGCGCCATATGTTATTTTGGTCTCGAATGAACGCGAGAATCTGCGTGACACCATTACGTTATTAGCAACGAATGCCTTGATGACCGGGAAGAAAAGCATCGAAAGCCCTATTGACAAGCACAGATTTTAGTTTTACTACAATAACGGCTGTTTTAGTGGTAAAATACAATAGAATATATTTCCATGCATTGTTTACAATGTATTTCATGCGGAATTTTGAATCTCAAAGGAAGATTTATTATTGCTTTAAGCTCCATTTGCAACTGAGAGAGAGAGAGAGAGAGAGATTGAGAGATTGTTTAAAAAAATTGCAAGCTACTTAAGATGGGATGAACCATCAAGAATTTAAAGACTTGGAAGAAAGGTCAAATTATCAAAAATAACATTTAATCACAATACAAGCCTGTTCCTAAGGCATTGGGGACATACTTTATCCATGATTCCACTATAATCTATTTTTCTTGACAATTCAATTATTCTAAGTGATTTTCAAGATATGCTTCAAGCCTTGGAGTAAGAGGGAGGATAAGGTGAATGGAGGGGGGGGGTTACAGCGTTGATAGATTATGCAAGGTCAAGTCTAATGCTTCGTACAAGCGAGGACACACGTACAAATACGTATTTGTAGCTCAAACATGGAGACCTATAACATTAGGTCTGAATTTCACTTCAAGTACTTTTTAAGACGCACATTTCAAACTATGGCACCTTCACGTGAAGATGTTAACTCTTAAACAGTAACCAAAGCCGGTAAAAATTGACGACATAACCGATGATTTTGTGAATTCACTAAAATAGTAAATCGGGTCAGGATTTCCCCCTTTTTCGATTTTCAAGCACTGGAGAACGATTCTGTTACCTCTTCTAAAAACTTCGTGACATCGTATATTTTGTCGTGGAGAATAAGCCAGCACTCTTGGGCCGAGTTCTTCTTTTTGACCTCCTCCTCGCGGTATATTTTCGTCTCGGGCATGATGTTCCTTTCTCGAACTTTGATCACAGTAAATACTAACGTGCAACTGAACGAGTGCTAAATATAGAATCCGCTAGGCATCATGGGAGCTCGTTATTGCGAATTTATATATTTCCCTCCAGATTTAGCCTAAATATCCATATTAATACTGTGTATTTTTATGACATTGTTAATTTCAGCTATGTATGCTTACATTAATGCTAGCTTTAATTAAATTGAAATTCAGCATGTGAAATTCTGCCTAAATGAGATTAAATGCGATAGGTGTTCTTACAATTGCTCAGCTGCTCCTCTACCATATTCAAGAAAAAACTAAGTTACTTATTCTAAGTAGAAACCAAACAAGTTAAAAAACACCTTTATGCATCTTTATTTTTATGTGTCTTTTGTGAAAATTAATATGGAAAACGTATTAATGGAGTCAAGATATCGAACTGGTACAAAACGAAACCAACAAAGAAAAAGGACGGTATATATATTTTTATTCTGCATAAGAAATTATTCCGTGTACATTGTACATACATGTATATTTTAGAATAACCTTATAAGAACATCATAAGTAAAATAAGAATTGTACAATTTAAAAACAAAATTAAAAAAGTATATAGAAAGGAATGTTTAAAAGTTCATAATGTATATACAACTACGACCTAAAAATTAACAGTAGTACATTCCACTGAATTAGTTGAATTGGTACATGTACCCATTTTTTCTTCTTCCTTCCTGCCATCTCTTTCTATCACAAAATCTGAGTGCTTCATCAATGACTTTGCCCGTGTATATTGTCAATATCTCATATGATATACTTTCCATTTCAGTTATGACTGTATGACCAAATTATGGCCTTCAAGTTCCACAACATGTGCAGAAATTTTTGTTTTACAAATAAAATTTCTTCAGAGCATCAGTGAATTCCTCATAACAAAATGCATGCTTTGGCCCGCTAAAAATCAAAATATGAAAAACATTACATTTTAGTAGACATTAAAATGTTTATCACATATTTGACTTTAATTATTAAAATAGTAAAATACCGGTAGTAGTATAACTATATGTGTGTCCCAGAAGTTACATGTAGCAATGAAACTTAGTCAATGTTTGAAAGTTACAAATATCATAATTTATTTCCACTCACAACAGAAAGGAATAAAATGGTGCAGTATCTTAAATTGGAAGAAAAAATAGTATTACCCTTCTGATAGGACGTGTTTCGCTATCCTGCTATTGAGAAAAGGAAAAAAAGCTTTATCTGCTATCTGTGATCTGAACATATTAAGTTTAATATAACATAATCAAGCTATTTTGAATTATCAAAAAGGTAAGCAAATGAGAGAACAAACAGCTTAAACAAAATAATAAAGAAACATCTTTAATCCAAGATATTTATATAAGTTCACATATTCATAATTCACAATACATAGAGCAACCAAAAATATGGTGTCAAACTTTCATCCAACTGTCTCTCTGATAAATTCTTGTCTCTTCTGAAACTGTCTATTACCTCTTCCAATACTCCTATGAGGAATTTCTTCAAGAGTTCTTTAGCATCTCCTGAGTGACCGATATCATGAAAGGCTTGAGTGGCATCAGGCATGGACTTTCCTGGAACAGTAACGTCAAAATTATCCAACCTGATAATATCCATATCAGGTTGTCCCAGTTACACCCCGATGTTTAGACAGTATATACTGGCTAATATAGTTTTCAGTTAACTCTGAATTTCAGGATATCACATTCCATAATATCACTATGTAAGTTATTCAAAAATGCCAGTTGGAAAGATGCCATGCACATATATATCAGGTCAATTACAAAGTACTATCACTGGTTTTCTTAAGTAACTAAGAACAGCATGGGATTTGTGGTACTTTCATTTTCCATAGTGGTTTCATTTTCACCCAGACAGCTTGTCAATATAAAGTACAAAATTCCTACCAGCAATAAATAAGGAGCTTTAAACAATATCTTGATAAAAATGAACTTTCTAATGCACACACACTTGCCTCCACAAACACATCCACAAACATATACACATGCACACAAACACGTGTGCATGTAATTTCTGCATGGGTATCAATATGTAGAATGATATACCATTTGATATTATATATAATATATTATCAAACTCAAATTATGGGAAGAAAAACAATTAACTACCCAAAAATCATAATAGGCCTATATACCTGCTATATCAAGTAGTACTTGTGCCCCACCGGGGTGCTGAAATATGAAATAAAATATTTTAACTTCGGTTTCACAGGATTATGTAACAGGTATACTTTATACCTACAAATATAAATTTATCAAATAACAGAAATAATAAATAAATAAATATTATTATATTGCCCACAGATGCATAATGATTAGTGTAATTATAATGAATGGAATTATAATTGGTCCCAGGGCTAGCTGGCACGTATACTGTCACATGCACTTCCAAATATGCTTTTGTGTGTTTATCCTTTTGTTCGAAGCATAATCCAGTTACAAAACCTCATCGTCCACTGTATGCGACATACAAGAGAGTAGAATGGTGTATGTAATTATCTTTTCTCCAACATTAAAATAATAATAATAATACTAATACGTACACCCTTAATTGTAAATAGATCCAATTAATAGCATGCAGTGAACGACGCGTACGTGTTGTTATTAGCACGAAAATTCACGCATGAATCATCATTCTGAATGTACCTGCTAGTGTTGTAACTGGTACAAATGACCACCTACAGGTATGATGACACCTGAGCTTAATTTAATCTGTGCCCAATAAATAGATTATCGTGAAACTCGAGGTGTTACCCAACTCTGACCCCCCCCCCCCCCCCGGCACCTCCTGAGACCCTTGAATTCTGCGTCTTTCTTTACCTCTGCTTTAAACTCTGTCACATTGTAGACTAAGCGGTCAATAATTATCCACGTTTGTCCCTCCTTGTTCCTTAGTTGCACTTGCTCCAGTGGAATCACTTCAGTCATGGTGTCCTGAAAAAATCTCCCAGTGGCAAAAAAAAGTCACTCTAATAATTAGAGTCTAATTTATATCTAGGTACCGGTACATATGTAGCAGTGGCGTACTGACGTGCACACACTGTGATTAAATTTCAAGCGAGCATTTCTACGGTTAATATCTAATTAATAAACTGTTGTCCGCTCTCTTCTGTGACTTTTGACTTTGTTTTCAGAGCTGTGTTGTTCCACTTTCCTGACTTTCCCAAGAAAGACTGTAGTACGCCATTGACACCTCATAAACTCCTGTTGCTAGGTCACAATGACACCTGTCAAAACTAGGTCACACCTTTGTTACGGATATTGACGTATATTGATTTGCGGCGTTTAGAACCTTCAAACTATGTTTATTTAATTTAAGGACTAAAAGAGAGCACTTGTTTAATGTTAACGTAGAACTACGAGGTATTTCAAATATAATGACTTCCGTTTTCAGCGATATATGTTTTAACACACCTGTCTCTCACCTGCCTACGGCCATACCACGTTGAAAACACCGGTTCTCGTCCGATCACCGAAGTTAAGCAACGTCGGGCTAGGTTAGTACTTGGATGGGTGACCGCCTGGGAATACCTAGTGCTGTAGGCTTTTCTTTATTTACTTCTTTTTTATATATAAAATGTTTTTCGTTTAAGATAACTACATATATTCACTAAACAATAAGTGAAATGGCCTCTACAAACGTCTAATAGTTATTGATATATTTCAAATTATTGCATGGTAGATCTGAACCAAACCATACATGAGTAACGGCATGGTTTCACTTTCGATTCATCCCGTCATTAAAGTTATTCATAAAGTCATTATATCCCTCAAAATATTGTGTTTTAAATTTGAAAGAATGAACCCACCCCTGCCTACAAAGAAGATGTCTGATTCTGGGTATCGAATCCTTTCACACTTCTCACCATCAGTACACGAAGTAAACAGAATCTAAGACATCTAACTGTATTTTAGATATAAAATTTATTTTTTTCCGTGAGAATCATACATCGATAATTCCTATACAGGTATATTCAATTATAATCTCAAACCTAACAGATGACAGCATTAGATTGAAGTTAAATTGTTACCCATTTTTATCTTTCTCTTCTTCCTTCCTCCCTTTCTTTGTATCACAACATATTAGTACTTCATCATTGACTGTGCCCATGTATATTGTATCTCATATAATTCTTTCCATTTCAGTTATGACTGTTTGACCAAAATATGGTCAACAAGTTACACAAAATATGTACAGGATTTATTTTTGTTTTGCTGAGAGAATGATTTACAACAACTATTTCTTTAGAGCTAAAGTTCATCATGATAAAATGCACCCACTGTCCTCCTGAAAATGAAAATTTGAAATAAATCACACTTTAATTTGACATTAATTTAAAATGATTATTACATAAATAATTTCCACTCATAGCAGAAAGGAATAAAATGGTGTAGTATTTTGAATCGGAAGAAGAAAAATATTCTTACCTTATTGTTCCCCTGATCTACTCTGTCAGCCTAATATTGAAAAAAAAAGGACATATGCTATGAAAAACTATTTTAAATTACCCCCCCCCCCAAAAAAAAAAAAAAAAAAAAACATTTTCAACTAAATAAAAAAGAAATATCTTTAATCTAAGACAGATTCATAAAGAATTAGGGAAGCTTAAAAGTTAAGATAATGTTAACAGAGGGCTGTGCCTTAAATTTGTGATTTTTCCCCTCCTTTATGTAGACTACTCAAGCAAAACAAGTGAAATTCTCCCTAACCCTTCACTCTGCACCCCCCCCCCCCTGAAAAATTAATCCTGAACCTGCCAAAAAGGGTCTCGTTTAAAAATAAATAAATAAATAAATAAATAAATAAATAAAAATTAACCATTATTGGTTTTAATCTTGAAAACAAGTTCACTTTACTTTAGGATACACCAGCTGTTGTCTAGTTACATATTAATATTTCATATTCGATAACAAAAAATTGTTACTCTTTGTTTTAGCAAACTAACTCAGTAACATATATGGCAACCAAAAATAGGGTATCAAATTGTCCGTCTGTTAAATTCTTCTCTTTTCTGACACTGTCAATTACCTCTGCCAGTACACCTATGAGGTAATCCTTCATGAGTTCTTCAGCATCTGCGGAGTGACCGACATCATGAAAGGCTCGTGTGGCATCAGGCATGGATTTTCCTGGAACAGCAATGTCACAATTATCCAATCTGATATATAAAGATTATTATTATTATTATTTTTTTTTTGGGGGGGGGGGGGTCAGCAGATGCGAAGCCACCCCCCTTCCCCCCTTTCTAGGTGTGGGGTTCGGGAAAATTTTAGAGGGTGAATGGTGTTATTTGGTATGGTTTAGGGCTAAGATTCAGCTAGAATAAGTCTACATTCTAATTTCAAGAGGGGACCATTGGTGTGATTTCCATTTTCAGAAACCGAAGGGAGGGGTGGGGTTCAGGACCCCTCCCCCCCCCCCTTAAATCCGCCACTGTAATAACCATGCCCAGGGCCTCCCAATTACACCCGATGTTCAGAGTGTACTGCCTGAGGCTTAAGTTTTTGGTTAACTCAAGGTGAGGATATAGCAGGGGAGGATTGAGGCCCTCTTCTGGTCTTAAGGAAGTTGATCAAGTTTACATTGAGTGGTATCTAATTTTTTCTGTCAGAAGACGTTCAGAAATGGAGAATGGATCAACAAAGATAATTTGGAAGACTGTCAGAAAATATCTCTGGGTCTGCCCACTGTGTGTGTTATCTAGAAATGCCAGTGGTTTGCTGAAATGGGAACCCTGAGATTCACAGCTCACTTGACATGGAAACACCTCATGCTGATAATAAAGAGGTAAGCTTCCAGAGACCCCTGAAACCCAGGGTACACATTCAATACATAAATGCTTCATTTAAAAGAGTAATTCTGGTCTTTACACAATATATATATATATATATATATATATATATATATATATATATATATATATATATACAAACAACTAGACTGAGGAAAACAAATGGTTGTTGATTTAGCTGACAAGTATAGGTAATAACAAAAATGGCAACAATAACCCACTTTTCAGTTCAATTACTGGTTATCTTAAAGTAACAAAGAACAGCATAGGTTTTTTCCTGGTGCTTTCATTTTCTATACCACTTTCATTTTCACCCAGACAGCTGGGCAGTGCAAAATAGAGAATTCCTACCAGCAACTAATTAGGAATTGTAAATGATAGACTGATAAAAATGTACTCTCTAAGGAACACACACACACACACACACACACACACACGCATGCGCACATGCATGTGTTTTTGCATGCATGTAATTTCTGCATGGGTATCAATATGTAGAAAAATAGTAGAATGATACTTTTTGATAAAACATGTACATGTAATATATTATGAAACCCAAAATAAGGGAAGAAAAAAGGAATTGAATACACAAAAGTTATAATACCTGCTTCATCAAGTATTACTTGTGCCCCACCAGGGTGCTGAAATATAGGAATATAAAATGTATAGTTTTATTACAATCACAGGAATAAGTATCAGGTACATGTATTGTGTCTATGAAATAATAACATATAGCCTATGTATATCAAATAATGAAAATAATAAATAAATAAATAAATAATTTTTATATTGCCTGGAGATGTATAATGAATAAATAAACTGCTCCATGAGCTGTACTAACGCTTCAAACAATTTGATAATTGCACTTGTATTAGGCATACAGAGCTGCCTGTATTTTCATATATGCTTCAGCGTGTTTATCCTATTGTTCGAACCGTCAGACAAGGCATAATCCAGTTACAAAAACTCAATTTGTCCACTGTATGCGACATACAAGAGAACTGAAAGGTGTATATAATTATCTTGTCTGCAACATTGATAATAATGCACCCTTAATTTGTCTTGTACATGTAAATAGCATGCAGTGAATGACACATGTTGTACAACATAACTGGTACAAATGACCACCTATAGGTATGATGGCAACTAAACTTAATCTAGGCCTAATAAACTCAGGGTGAAAGTCAACTGTGTACGCCCCCCCCCCCCCCCTCCTCCTCTTCCTGAGATCGTTTTGGCTTCTTGCTCTACCTGTTCTTTGAACTCCGTCACATTGTAGACTTTGTGGCCAATGATTATCCACGTTTGTCCCTCCTTGTTCTTTATCAGCACTTGTTCCAGTGGAATAACTTCAGTCATGGCGTCCTGAAAAATCTCCAATGGTAAAAAAGTCACTCCAATATGTTGTAACCGTCCAACCAGTATATATAATAGGTACCAGTGTAACGACGTGCACACGCTGTGATCAAATTTGAAGCGAGTGTTTCTACTGTCAATATCTAATAATTAAACTTATTATAAACTTACCCGTACTCTTCAATGACTTTTGACTTGTTTTCAAAACTGTGTTGTTTCACTTTCTTTACTGACTTTTCCAAGAAAGACCGAGTCTCTGACGCCACTAAAAATTAACAGGAGTAATAAGTGACGATGGCGTTGTGCGGTAAAGTATTCACTGGTTCTGCTTTATGAGTGTGAGTGCGATCACTGTGAGATTGCTTCCTATTTATAATGGATTCTCTGAAGGTTGTCAAGCGAATGTTCGTGTCGAAGCACGGAGTGGGAGATAAAGGTAATCATGATGACGATGATCGGCAAGGGGCGTGACCTCTCCACTTGACCTGTGTTCCTTGACCTTCTATGGCCTGTCTTGGCACATGAGCGGTAAAACTGCACCTGTCTAAAACTAGGTCACGTTTTGTTGTATTGATATTGACGTATTGATTTGGGTCGTGTAGGCCAAACAAGAACTTTCAGTTTATTTGGTTTAAGGACTAAAAAAAAAGCTCTTGCTTAATGTTAACTAAATTAGAACTACGAGGTATTTCAAATATAACGACTTCCGTTTTCAGCGATATATGTTTTAACACACCTGTCTCTCACCTGCCTACGGCCATACCACGTTGAAAACACCGGTTCTCGTCCGATCACCGAAGTTAAGCAACGTCGGGCTAGGTTAGTACTTGGATGGGTGACCGCCTGGGAATACCTAGTGCTGTAGGCTCTTCTTTATTTACTTTTTTTTATACAAAAAATGTTTTTGTTTTTTTAATTTAAGATAACTTTTCATATAACAAGAAGTAAGACGACCTCTACATGAATAAAAAATTTCAAATTAATGCGTGGTAGATTTGCACTAAACTATAGATGAATAACGGCATGGTTTCACTTTGATCACTTTCGATCCACCGTGTCATCAAAGCATATACCTTAATCATATATATATATATATATATATATATATATATATATATATATATATATATATATATATATAATTCTGTGTTTTGAACTTAAAATAATTATTTGAGAGTTCCCTTTGAACGAAGTTGCATTTTATTTGGCAGTTATCAGAAGAATACGCAGCTGATGCGTAACTATTTTGGCAACACCGGTACAGAGATGACATAATCTCTTTCAGGGTGGCAGGTATTATAGGCAAATTTTCCAAAAAAAAAAAAAAACTTTAGATAAATAGACAGTCATTTGATTCTTTCTCTCTTTTTTTCCCTATAATATCTGCCACCCTGGTAGAGGGTAACACGTCCATGAGTAAGAGGCACGTGTAATCATCTAGCTACTGTAGTCGGCCTCTTATACATAGTTGTATGCAGTGAACGTAGACGTGGACAAAATAACCCCTCCCCCCTCCCCCCGCTTACCAAGAAAATGTCTAATTTAGCGTAGAGTAGGCCTATTGGATTCCTCCGCAGTTCTGTCCATTCAGTTATACATGTCTAGTTCACGAAATACGAGGAGTCTAAAAGATCTTTATTTGTATATCAGATATATAATTTATTTCTATGAGATTAATAACACATCCATTCTTTGACATAATATATTGTGATGATGAGATTTCTTAAAAACACCTCGCAGAGCTGCGTTGTTGGATTCTGGCGACCGTCATGGGAAATGTCTATTATTTTTCCTGGAAAATAAAAGAAAAGTTTTATTATGAATATTAATAATAAGGACGCAACGCTTATGTTGCGCTGTTCGTTGCCAAAAGTTTGTTCATTAATGGTTTTGAGATTATTTAACTGAAAGAAACGCGTTGTCTTCACTAACTGATACAGTAATTTACTATAATATTTAAAATGCAGATCTTATTTTGAGAGAGAGAGAGAGCAGCGTGTGTGAGAGATGGTAGTGTGTGTGTGTGTGTGTGTGTGTGTGTGTGTGTGTCTGAGAGAGAGAGAGAGAAGTCGGTGTAAGAGTTTGTATGTACGAGAGATACTTTAAGTCTCACCCCTCTGTTGTCTCGATCGTCCTGTAATGACAAATAAACAGAAAATGCTAATCAATATGTTTTAATTAAAATTATTGTTTTCAAAGGTAAGGAAAAGGCATTTCCGTTTTTAAAGAAAAACTATACAAAATCTTTTAAAAAATGAGACTTTATAATAACATATCAAGTTGAATGAGAAATAAAAATAATAATGAAAGTGATGGTTCAGAAAAGAATTTCTGGGGTCCTAGCTCGACAGAGTTGAAATGTATCCATTGTTATTACGAGTGATCGTGTAACATCACATATTACAACAACAAAACGGCCCAAATAACCGACATCTCTGTTATGTCACAGTAAATTTCTTACTAATTAAAAACCACTCGCGTATTTATTGTCTATTTAATTAACATATTTGACTCTGAAAACTGTAATTCTGATATTTTTTAACAATACCTACCTCGTGTAGAACGCCTATAAGGTATTTGTTCATTAAATTGAGGGCGAACTCTGAGTGGTTGATATACACGAATATAGATGAGGCGTCATCTCCTACAATAAATGTGAATAATTTTTTGTTACATTTGTTTTTATTAAACTTGTCTTGTCATTGCCATTATAAACTGCTTGGTAGGTGGTGTACATGTAATATATCATCGGACAATAATAATAATAATAATAATAATATGAGAGAAAGGTACCATCTCCAGGGTCACAGATTGAGTTTTCACTATATATTCACGGGCGTGTCACTGGTGAATTCATGATAATTTTTTGTGCTGTAGAGAATTGTGTCATGAATTAACCAGAGACCTATCTGTGATTATCTAGCGAAAATCAATCTGTGACCTTAGGAGGGGGGTACGAGAATGGTATGAAAAAATAATCAAGGGAACACTGCAGATACCAGCTGTGAATTCAACGAGGCATGACTTTTATTCCCGCACGTTTTTCTGTTACTAAGAGATTACCCAGTGGCGGGAGAGGCATGCTAAAGATACAGGTCAGTAGACAGTAATTTCTGAAACTCAGGGCGGTCCTGCTGCGCGAGGGAGCAGAAAAGAAAAAAAAGTGACTCCTCGCGTTAGTGTATTTACACTAGTAATACACATTCCTCTTATTACTGTTAGTGTCTTTACGTTTAAGTCGTGAAACTCTTGCCCGTTTCAAAAGTTAATTTTTTTCTTTCCTTTAANAAGAGATTACCCAGTGGCGGGAGAGGCATGCTAAAGATACAGGTCAGTAGACAGTAATTTCTGAAACTCAGGGCGGTCCTGCTGCGCGAGGGAGCAGAAAAGAAAAAAAAGTGACTCCTCGCGTTAGTGTATTTACACTAGTAATACACATTCCTCTTATTACTGTTAGTGTCTTTACGTTTAAGTCGTGAAACTCTTGCCCGTTTCAAAAGTTAAATTTTTTCTTTCCTTTTATTTTTTTATTTTTTTTTTTTTTTTTTTTGTATTTCAGTGAAAATTGTTCAACTTACCTGAGTATTGATTTAGAATATGCTCACCGCCTGGGTGCTGAAAGAAAAGATAGCATTTAACGTGGTTGTCATCTCTAATATATATGATATAATTAAATAAACTTGTTAAAGGCGTACGGCCTAAAACATTATTACAATTGAGATTTTGCGACCAATTCTGTTCTATTTAATTATCTGCGAGGATAAATGATTGATTTGGCAATTTTAATTCTAGGTCGGTATGAAATGATAGTAGACAAACGGAGGGTGCAAAAACAAGTGATGGAAAAGAAAAAATAAATATGGGAAAATTAGATAATCAAAGTTGCATTTTGTATCAAGACACATGGGTCTCTTCAAAGTTAGACTAAAATTACGTGCAAATACACCGCAATAGTTTACGATATTATAGTAGGCCTACTGGTACAAGCTAATTTTTCAAAGCGTATTTTGGACACGTAAATGAAGCTGCAAACACTAAACAGCTAACCAATGTTGCAGTTATTGGACACAAATTCCTTTTCATACTTATAAACTAATTTTACAATGATTATAAACTAATTTCACGATGATTATTCTCTCTCCCAGTCTCTTACCTCATATTTAAATTCTGTAACATCGTAGACTTTGTTATAAATAATCAGCCACGTTTTCCCGTTTTCGCTCTGTTCTCTGACTTCAGCTGCTCTGTAAACCTTCAAATTCTGAGATTCCGACATTCTGATGTTCCAATCCAACTATAGCAGGTCTAACTTGTAATATATAAAAATAATATAAAAAAGTTCAAACTGTATGCTGCTTACTGTCTGTTACATATGTTACATATGTAAAACCAATCTGTGAACTGATACGCGATGTAAGCTTACATATAGTCCTACATGTAATGCTGCATCTGGAAGTCATCAGGTGAGGTGAAGAAGAAAAATACACGCGTCCCTGTAGTTCACTGGCCTGGGCAAGGCTTGAGGACAAGACAAGGATCAGGGTGTTAGCGTTTGGTTTTCATCATGACGGATCCTGGATACGCTCACGGCCTGCTTTATAACTAGATTTTGATGTTTTATTTTGAGATTGGAGAAAAAGATATTTGTCAAAAATTGAAAAATTTTAAAAAGAAAATAAATCTTGAACTTTATTTATTCATTTATTTTATTTATTTATTCATTTTAGTTTTAGGGCCACCAGCATTTGCTTGTTTAAGTAAGCAGCGTGTTGATAATAGAGGCTAGTAGGCCTATCGCAAATTTGAATTCTCGTATTATCGTATACCAGGGTGCATATTCCGGTGCTGTTGGGTGAGGGCGGCTGTATAGGCTTAACCACGTACACATGGATAGAGTATGACTGGTAGGCTCCTTTGAGGACAAAATTGACGTCATTATTTGGGTCATTGACACACGTGCGATTGACAATAATAAACATCACTTATTTTGTTGTGGTCAATGTTGAAAAATAACATGAACTGCAATAAAGGTCATGGGAAACTTTCAAAGTATATCAAAATGTTATTTAGTAGTATCTGATTTATGTCTTGGTAGGTAGGCTAGCCTACTGTTGATTTAATGTAAAATAATAGTTAATAAAAGGAACAATAAAAAGAATAAAAATAAAGGTAAAAATGATAAAAAGGACAAATGGCTTAATTAGTTGCAAGGAAAGGAATTTCGTTAGTTACACTGTCATCATCAGGGATATGATTTGTGTGTGTTGGGGTAGGGTGGGGGTGAGGGTGGGAGGTGGACCTGAAAGTTGACGGTGTTATTCAATTATCCCAGAAAAGTTTAAAAAACTCAGTTTTTTTTTTAATATGAAAAATCACCTCTCAGCACCATTTGGTGCAATTTCTCATAGTCCAGTCGTTTACTGTTCAATATGCAGAAAAATCCGCAGAAAAAAAGGCAGTCACCAGCATCAGGTTTGTTCCCGTGGTGAGAAGAACATATTCGACCGAAACAGGTGATGTTACCTGTTAAATAAACGAAACTGCAAACAGTTAACGTTGTGTTTTTTTTATTGAAAGTTCCATCCCAATAATACCCCCTTTACATTGGACGGCGTTCTTTCTGCGTCCTTTCTGCGACCATGAAATTTGGCATCGCTGAGGTCTTAATAAGGAGGCACGAGCATTGATTTTGTATCAGAATGAATGCTCAATGATCGGCCAGTTGTCGGCACGTAAAGTATTATAATTTTTTAACTCTCAAATGGGACCGTACTGCTGGACGCAGAAAGGACGCCGTCCAGTGTAAAGGGGGCTTTAATAACGTACGTTACGTTAATGCCAGTTTGTCTCAGTTCATCTTGACCATGAGAAACTCTTCAGAAATTGGAGTACAGCTATTTCCAGACGATGTCAAGAAATGCAAAACTCGGATAAAAGAAGATCCAGAACAAGTTGCAGTCCTTGATTCAGTCCGTTGAAGGCAAAAACAAGGTAAACATACAATCAGTCTACCTTTAAATCGATATTCAGTGTTATTGAATGTGGCTATATGTATCTACTCTTCTGAAAATGTGCAGGGGCAAATCCAAGATGGCGACTGAAATATTGTGTGTTTTTGTATCGACACGATTTTGCTTAAAGATCTTTTTGCACTGCAGTTTTGCGGTTTATTTCAGGCTCTTCAAGACCTTGGATATAAGATGTTTGGAGATCGAGAAATATTGGAGCCCTTTTATCTCATTTAGTTCAATTTAGATTACGCTTGTCAATGAATGGAAGATCTGATTTTTTTCGCTAAGATTCAGTTCACTATATTTCGCCGGTGCTGGTTTCTCCACTGCGTCATTATCCACTGACCATTCAGTTGCTTTAAAATATGTATAATAAGTTACAGAAAACTTAAAAGTGGTCTTAAGAGTTGTCAGTGAAACTTTAAAAATGTTGCTCACTGGAAATAAAAGACTAGTGTATTATTAGATGTTTTCTCCAGTTCTTTTTTTAAAGAAAGATCTGGGATTTTTGTCCAGATTTCTTTTATTGTTACTATACCCAGTGTCACCAATAAAGAAGTCAATGTCATTGTGTGTTGGTTTGATTTTTGTAATGACATTTAGATGAAATGAAATATTTAATAAAACATGCTTTTGTGTCCAATTCTTGCATTGTTTGTTGAAGATTCTCACGTACTGCTGAATAGAGAAAAATAGATTTAAAAAGCAACCTTCCTTAGTTTTACAAAGTATATAATTTGATAATATTTATGTTTTTTAAATTGAACATTTGAAAAAAATGACTTCACATTTTTAAAATCAATTTCTGAACATTATTTCATTATTATTTCAGTGGCAGTACACAAATATTGTTCATTTGTGTTAAAAATTTTGGACTTTTAGAAAATTTTCATTTTGAGAACAAAATGCTTGGGGATGTTGGTAACATTATAATAAACCCATTCCAAATATAATATACATAGACTTAAAGAAAACTGATGCAAAAGAAGATCTGAAAATTTTTGATTCAAAGGTTTCTTTTGTTAGTGTCACAATTAATGTAGAAATAAATAAAGGTCACTTATTTACTGCAAACTGCACTGTGCAGCTGAGAGTAGCTGCTGTTATAATCTGTATATAATATCAACTGGAACTACTGAGCCAATAAGGGAGATAAGAAAATCTTGCTGAACTGACCCCCCTAAGGAATATCTTTACTAGATTCCATTGTTCGTATTTGTGTTAACCTAAAAATGTGCAATTTACATAAATGGTCCATGGCCAAATGTTTGCGAACCAGATTCTTTTAAATCTTTCTATTACAAAATGCTGACAAATGGAATTTTATTCACGCGCAATGCATGACCGTGTACAGAACATGCAGTAAAGGCAATTGAAACTACCAATTTGGTCCGTCTGTTCAGGTAGAGTTTGGTTTTGATGAATGGTTATTTTTGTCCATATTAGGACTTAATTTTGTAATATATAAAATAGATATATAATACAATGATATTGCCATTAATTTGGAATTCGCATTTGTGAATTTTCAAACAGTGATGTTTTGGGTCCTTTGAGGACTTGTCCATGAATTTACATGAAGCTTTATGTAGAAGGACATGAATGCAATGTTTATTATCTTGTTATTCCTTGCAGGTCATTCCCAGAATTTTATTAAGAAAATAATGAGGAAAAGAAGGGGACGAAAGTGAGTAAAAAATCTGTCTGTATTAACTTTTGAATCTGGTCAGTTCCCATTGATAGAAAATATGCATGCAGATTTTATTTTTCATGTGTAATAATTTTGATGGAAACTCCTCAGAAGTCCAACAAAAGATTTTTCTTCATAATTTTTGTAGTGGCCAAATTATAAACGAGTCGTGTGTCCAGTAATAACTATAACACTAAATGAGTGTAATTGAATTCCATACCTTCCATGAGAATTATCATTCAGTGCTTTCTGTATGGCAATGTCTCCATGCCTTGTATATTATTAAGCTTTGGCCTTACTTTATTATGCTATATCATCATAGGCCTGGTCCACGAGTGAAAGCCTCCAACCTTCCAGCTGGCAGTTCCAGCGAGGACGCCACAGCAGCCTCAGCCGAAGAAGAGAAGTCCGAGGGTGTGGATCCAGCAGCAGCGGTAGCTGGACTTGACGCCAGTGTTGAACAACAACAACAAGATGGCGGCGATCGCCAACCAACGTTGAACAGCCGTCAGGTGCCAGACAACAGCGGGGAGCTGCCAGGGAGTAGTGGTCAGTTGCAGGGGACCAGTGGCCATCTCCCTGGCAATGGTGGCCAGGCAGTGGTCAGCAGTGTGAGTGGACATAGACCTCAGTCCCAATCCGATGAATTTAATGTCGATGCTGATGAAATGTCACGTGACCTCATGGACTGTGAGATGATTGGCGATCTGGCTGTCGATATCAACATGTCTGACTTTATAACGGTGGACGAGGTGATGAACATGATTGGTGATATGAACCCAGGGAGCGGAGGGGCCAGGGTGGACAGCGAGCCCCAGAGACAACTCCATACTCCAACAATGGAGATTGAACAACAGGGTGGTGAAGAGAAAATGGATGTAAAGGGACAGTCAGCAGAGCAAGTGGAGTTAAAGAAAAATGTTCAGGATGAAGAGGTAAACACAGAGGTGCCCATAGAGCTACAACAGGCTCTGGATGAAAGTATAGGCAAAATCAGTAAAACTGAAAATGAAAAACAAAACACACAAACTGAGGACAATAAATCTGGCACTGAAGTTGCTAGCCTTGCTCAGGATAATGAGGATGATAAAAATGAACGTTTTTCAGATGCTCCTATGGGAAGTGAAAATGAGCCTCGTTTTCAAGGCAACATAGAAACGGCAGCGATAGAAGCCATTAATGAGAACATTGCACAGATTGATGGCTCGGCAAATTTGACCTCTCTTACGCAGAATGATAGTGAAGACTTGACTCTGAGCTCATCAAACCAGGGACCCAAAACGGAAGAGACCGAAAAAGGGACAATAAATGAATGTGACTCACTAGGACAACCAAGCATGGCTTTGAATGACAGTTGTGAACAAAATCCTGTACAAAAGGAAAATGTAGAATCTGTTTTAGACCAGGAAAAAGTTGTGTCCATGGAAATTGAGGAAGATATTGACTCCAAGAGAATTGATTCTTCAACAGTTAGTGGGAATGATTCCTCTAGTTTTTCCAAAAATGAGGTTTTGGGTGAAAATCCTGTTGTTTTGCATGAACACAATACTGCAGGGGAAAACAAGTTCACGACTAACATTGAAAGCATTTCTTCAGAGGAGATGATTTCTTCAAAATTTACAGACTCAGGAAATACAACGCCATTGACGGAAAAAACTAAACCTGCAGAATCAGAAGCGCAACTTGAAAAACCTGTTGATACTCAAACACCTCTGATATTTGACACAAAAGCGCCCTCTTCAGGAATGTTTTCAGCTGCACAGGATAATTCACAAACTCATAACTTTGAGGCGGATTCAAAAGTTACTGCAGTTGAATCTGTACCACCGTTTACATCACACAGAGAACCTCAGAAGGTGATGACCCCTGACAATGTGCCTCCTGCCAGCGATGGTGTGGAAGATACACAGTGTACTGCAATGTTAGGGGAAGTTGAGCACAAGACAACAGCTTCTGAACCTTCTCAAGATGACAAGGATGTATGCTTATCTGTTAGTGCCACTGACGATGCAACCCAACAGATTTTAGAATCAAAAACACACACTGAGATTGTCTCACCTATAGATGGTGCTAGCAGCAATGAAAAGCCAAACCCAAGTCTGGCTGCTGAAATAAGTGTAAAAATGGTATCAGATGTTCCAATACCACCAGCTAGTAAGGAAACTGATGCTGCTTCCTTTCCATCACCACCTTCAGATGTGTATTCAGATCAAGGAACTGTAGGTTTTCAAGGTTCTAAGCAGGAGATGGAGGAAAGTGAACAGTATGGGCCAATTACACCTCAAGAGTATGAGCGGGAGCTTGCTTTGACAACAAAACAAAGTAGTGTGAAGGAAAGTTCAAATAAAGGACCTGTACGTTTTCCAGAGAGTAGTAAGCAAAAGGCAGAGGAAAGTGAACAGTATGGGCCAATTACTCCTCAAGAACATGAGCGACAGCTTGCTTTGACAACAAAACAAAGTAGTGTGAAGGAAAATTCAAATAAGGGACCTGTAGGTTTTCCAGAGAGTAGTAAGCAAAAGGCAGAGGAAAGTGAACAGTATGGGCCAATTACTCCTCAAGAATATGAACGACAACTTGCTTTGAAAAGAAAAAATGTAGCACAGGAAATTTCAGAGGAGCTGGCTCCTAAAAAGACCAAGTTGACACAGTATATGTTTGGAGTAAAGAGAAAATCTACAGAGGGCCAAGCAACAGGGGAGGAAAAACAAGTAATCAGGGAAACTGAAGGTAAGAATTTAGTGCAGGTAATAAGCCATTGCAGGTGATGTGCCTTAACAATGTTCATTGAGTTAGTGCCCAGGACATTTGGCTGCAAAAATGTTTTCTTACTGTTTGTAAACACTGTTTTTCTATTCTCTTTCAAATACCAGCATTTGGTCCCTTTTATGGGTATCCCTTTCTGAGAAAACAATCTTTTATCTAATGTGAAAAGTTGACTCTGTTTAACATGCAGGGAATAGTGCTGCTTGTTCCAGAATCACCTTACTGTAAGTGACTGGAAACATCAGAAGTATGCTTATACTGGAAGTTATTGTCAACTTTTCTGTGGCACTCACATTGTGGATTAAAGTATGATGCAAATAATCATTATCCCTGATTTGAACAAAATTCAGTTTTTGCTTAAATGCTGAAAATCAGCTTTGCTTTATCCTCTGACGTAAAATGAGAAGTGATGGGGGTGGGTTGTGAGGGCCTGATCTTCAGTCAAGCTTGATTATCTCTTAATATTAATATCTACATTTGAAAGCTTTGAGAAGCAAAGCACCTGCTGATATTTCAAGGAGATTAACGGTGATGGCCCACAGTGAGGCTTTGGGCAGTGATGTCATGCTAGTCTAGATAACCTGCTGAACTCTGTGTCAAACTGGGCTGATTTATCAGCGCTAAAAGTGAAGTTCACATTGTGAATGTCATCTCAGAAAGCAGTGCATAAGTGACGCACAAGACGTTTCATTTGGTATATATGCAATGTAATTTGACAAAACTTGTGCTTCAAAAAAAAAAAAAAATTGTTTTAATTCTGTCAGCTTGCATATGTTGCCTTACCATACTCACTTGTCTGACATTAATCTGACCCAATTTTGCTCCAAGTATCACAAAGTCTCACTTATTGCAAGACTGAACTTTCTTGATTCTCTTTAAGATTAGAAATGTTATTTCTCTTAATACGACTGGTATTGCAATATAATGAAGAAGTGCTTAATTGTCTTTTAGATTCCAAGCCCCCAAGCAGCAGTAGTACCAGTAACAGTGTAACAAGCAGCAGTAACAGTACCAATGTTACAAGTAGCAATAGCAGTAGCAGTAAAGCAGGTTACACATTAATGGTAGGCAACATTCCAGCTGGAACCAAAGCAGCCGAGGTCAAACTACTTTTTGAAGCGTATGGAAAGGTAAGAGAATATGTGGTGGTGTCTTCATTGGTTGCTTTATTTTAAATTTCCTCATCTTTCTTTGACTGGACAGGTTTATGCAGTCACCAAGTGTATTTATTTTTACTATATGAATTCCAGGTGCTGAATGCCAAGATTCTAGGCAATTCCAAGAACCCAAAGGCCCCCGTGTTTTCCCAGATAATGATGGAGAATGAAGAAGAGACAGACTTGGCAGTGAAAAGCCTTCACAAGTGTGTCTTCAAAGGGAATAAGATTGTAGTTAAGAAAAAGGTAAGGCCTGTTTATAAAACAAAAAATTAGACCATTTCTGGCTTATACCAGACCTGGATCCATGTATCTGAACAAACATCTGCCCATGTTGGCATTTTTGAGCTTCATCAATTTGATATATACACCCAAGATAAATCAGTACTAGTTTTGGGCTTATCCCAGATTTTGAAATGAGGAGACCAAAGTCATTTTCTTAACAAGACGGGCCCCATTTGTTCCAGTGATAAAAGTCAGAAAAAAAATTAAATTTACACGAGATGTTCAAGGAGTATTGGGACAGTTGCTTAAGTTATGATAGTTTCCTTTTTGAATGAGACTTCATTGGAAACATTTTCTAACTAAAAATTAAGAATTAATTAGCTTTTTGATTTAAGCAAATAGAACAAATTCATCATGAATTTATTTTAATGTTTGGTCTATGATTTGAGACCAAGTTACAATCTTGTTCTTTTTATCTTGAAATGGATCCCATGTTTTTGCTGAACCTTCAGTCATGTCATTTCATTATTTCATTAGTCGAAGCCTGAAGACCAGAGTCAAGAGAAGAAAGACTCTCCTGCAGTGAAAAAAGAAACTCCAACCCCTGAGACTCCAAAGCAGGCTCCTCTTGAACAACAGACAGTGGCTCCATCTATAGATCCTGTGCAGGCGGCATTGGCAGCTGCCAAGGCATCCATAGAAACAAAACTGTTGTCTGCTGAGGACAAGGCAGTCAAGAAGAAAGGAGGTAGATATGACTGATTTGTACTGTTTTTGTTTTTTTTCTTTTGCCTTGTGATGTTTATTTGCAAATCTATTTATTTGAGACCTTTATGGTATATTTGATGTATCATATATAGGGCTCTCAAACTAGCCGACTTGGAAATTTTTGTTTTTAACATGCTCTACTGCAAGTCACTCAGTGTAAATAATATGACACCAATCCATAGTCCAGTACAGAAAATTTAACTCTTCGGTCAAGATTGAAGATTGGTTAAATATTCTGTTAAGAAAAATTGCAAAGCATTGCTCATGTTTTTACCTTGATATGGATATTGGTGGTAATTTTGAAGTGAAATTATTCTAATTTGAAATCAGATTATTATATATTTCTTACATTTTTCTTGTTGGAATTAAATGATAGAATTCACTGAGATTAAAAACAAAGTATATGGAGAGGGGAAAAATGATGTTGATATATTCATTTCCAGGCAATGAGTACACAGATGACATCTACCTCTCGTTTGAAGTATCAGACACCTATCAGGGCAAACCAACTCTGAAAACAACAGCAGTAACCAGCACCACTACAACAGCCACTACCACTCAGAGCCAGGCCAAGGCAGCCAAAACAAGCATTGATCTGTCCACTAAGAAACGCATGCAGAGCTACATGGCCAGCATGCTTGCAGCCAAGAAATCAGGGCAAAAAGTACCAAAACTGGCATCCAAACAAGAGGTGTCTGATCTCAAGACAAGACTGATAGAGAAGAGTAAGCTGAAGAAGCAGGGTGTAACTCAGTCTGTTGAGGAGGAAGAGAAGGTGGATGAGAAGGCAGCCAGGGCAGCAAAAATTGAAGCAGCCCTTGCAGCCCAGGCTTCCCTGTTGGCAGAAATAGCTCGATCTAAAATCCAGGTTGCCTCAACTGCTTCAGCAGTGCCACAGGTGCCTGTCTCAACACCTGTGACAGCAAGTGATGTGTCCACACCTGCTGCAGCTGTGGCTCCTGTACCCTTCTCCGTACCATTGCCTCAATCCCAGCCTACAGACTCTGTGATCCCTACCACATCAGTTCCAGTATCCACTTTATCATCTTCATCTGTGACTACAACAGTGACGGAAGCACAGCCACCTTCTATGTCTGTTGCCAGTACAACAGGGACGTTGTATTCTGCTCCCACGCCAGTTGTCCCAACAACATTATCGCCAGTTTCATCATTTGCTCCATCAGCAGTTTCCGTGGCAACATCCAGTAATGTGGTGACCACTGCAGCCACTACAGGACCAACTGTGTCGACCGCAGTGACCCAGATTGGCCAGTCCTCTAGTCTTCAGGGGGTCTCTCTGCCACCAAGTGCCCCACCCCCTGGGGTGCCTCCTGCCCCTGTAGTACCCCCTGCCCCGGGGGTCTCCTCTGCCAGGATGGCTGTCATGGAGATGTTGACAGTAAACAAAAAGCTTCCTACGTCGTCAGATGGTGGAGCACAAGCGGCGCCCCTTATGTTTCCAAATCCTCCAGCGCCTGGGTCATCTTCGTCTGACCCAGCACTAAGTTCTTGGGGTCAAGGTGCAGCTCAGTGGGGACCTCCAGGCAGCTCTGGTCCTGGCTGGGGACACCCGCCCCCACCAAACTATGGCTATCCCCCTCAAGGTCAAGGTAACAATTGGAACAACCAATCATATCAGGGCTGGAGTCAAGGTGGTACGCCGACGTCTAGCAGTGGGTGGAACCAACACCATTCAGGCTGGGGACCTTACCCTCCCCCTCCTAGGGGGTACCCTCCTGGCCCTCACGGGGGATTGTGGCCTCAGGCACAAATGGGTCCTCCAGGGCCTTGGGGCCCAGGTTACCCTGGGGGGTGGAGTGCCACCCCAACCATGGGAGGTAGAGTGCCAACCCCAGGACAAGATGTAGCTGAGAGTAAGACTACAGAGGAACCAGAACCTGAGGCAGGGTCAGCTGGAGACGACAACACAAAGGTCAGCGACCAGACAGAGGATGTTGACCTCCCAATTAATAAAGAGCTCCAAGCAGCCATGGAGGAGGACGATGAAGATGATGGCAAGACGGAGATGTGGCAGTCGCTGGCCAGAGCTTGGGCCAAGGGGAAAATGGACTACAATAACTACTGTAATGATTACTATAACAGTTACTATGGTGCCCCACAGTATGGCAATAACTATGGGGGTGGAAGTGGTCACATGGGGTACCCCCCTGGCCCCCCACCACCAGGTGGTCCCAGGTACCCTCCACCACACATGCAGCAGGGATATAACCAACAGGGCTACCCAACCTATCCATATCAGCAAACGGGGCCAAACATGTCCAGTGGCCCTCCGGCGGGTGTTCCCCCTCCCGCTCCAGACTCTGGGAGTAATGCTGGACAATTGGGTCAAGGTGATGGGCAGGAGGTTACACATGGTACTGAACAAAGTGCAAGTGGCCCTGATCCTTCAAACGAATCACAGGATGTGAAAACTCCAACGGATGGAGAAAAAACTAAAACAAACCTAAATTCTAGTGCAAAGAAGGAAAATGGACTTTTAGGAGATTTGACGACTTCATTCACTACTGTTTCTGAGAGTTTGGAGCTTAAATCTTCTGGTTTGATGTCAATCAATGCTGCACCTCCAGTGGCGCCACCTACAGTCAATAGTGCACCTCCTGTAGCTCCACCAGAGGGAGTGTTACAAGACACCCCAACTGAAAACTCAGAAAATGTATCAATGGAGGTTGACATGGATACAAGTCCATGAAATAGCTAATTTTTGAAGCTGATTTTGATAGTCAGAAACAGAGACATTTAGAAGAAAATGACAAATTTACAGGTTTCTTTCACAATTGAATAGGAAGCTATCGACACAAATAATACCAGTATTCATTGTGATTGCCTGCATCCCCAACAGTTATCTGTCCATCCTTTATTACTTTGACATAGCACAACCTATTGATAATAACATCACACTGACAGGATTATTGGAATGAATCACAAGTCAGTGGTTCAATATTGCCCTAACTAGAACTATATGAAAAACAGTCATTTCTTAGTTACATGAAGCTATTCCCATTTTATTAATTCAATACTTGAAAAATGGAGAACCAAACTGGCGCCAAGACTGCTCTTTGGACTTTTAAATCGGTTTTATGGTGACCAAAATTTTGATTTGGTAATTAATTTTTGTTTATGTTAATGAGAAATTACTATATTGTTTTAAAGACAGAAAATAACCAACTTGAAGTTTGTTATTTATGAAAAATGTGCTTTGTAGAAAAACACTGCCAAAGTGTAGGCAGCATTTTTCCATTGAAAATCAACGGATGAATGTGTAATTAAAAAGATAAGTTAAATAAGAAATTGTAGGGACTTTAAGTTATACAACCAAGTCTCCCTAACATATATCTGATTCATTTAAAAGTGAAGTGGATGTTAAGTTGGAAAATGCAGAATAAAATGAGACCACTCTTCAGTAACTGATTATTTATTGATTTCCAATGACAATTTCAAATAAATGACATTTTCAGGATACATCCTATTTAAACATAATTATTTGAACAATATAGAACTGTTAGCTAAATGAGTTTCTTGCCAGAAAAAATGTGGAATATTAATTCCCAACTAAAATGGGATTGAAGATCTCCATAAATTCTAAAAAATGCAAATTTATCACCATATGCAGCTTTCCTACTTTAAACCATCTTGCCTTTCAGTCTTATCCTATTTTTCACACTTAAAAATGCATTTTGGAAACGTGCTCATCAGTTTTGCACATATTCTGTGCATAATTACAAAAAGATGAAATGTATATGTGGATGGCATATTCAAGTTAAAATTTATTCAGAAGAATCACATTTGATTTATACAATAATTATAAAACTGCTGGCAGTGACTTGACTTTTAGTTGAAAAATCTGTACAACCCGAATAAAGTATTTTGTTGCCTTAACTGACACCGTTGAAAACCTGTGTGATTTGGACAATAAAAAAAAACAACTAAATATTAATTTGGAATACAATGCTGTTATGGTTCAACCTTAAATAATCTGCCAGACTTATCAATATTAATCTGAGAGATCCCTGTAACATACACTGGCTTGTGTCTTAATCCCTAATCTAGTGGAGCATCAAAGCACAAAAATATAATAAAATAATAAATCTATAAATAATAATAAGTAAAATAAGAGAAAAAACTTAAATAAATAAAAAATAAGCCTCGATTTACATATGAAGGAAAAATAAATTAATAATAAAGTGAATAGATGTGAATAGATGGTTAGGAAATGATAGTAAATAATTTTGGGAGCAAATTATGCCACCAATGAAAAAAAATAAATGTAAGAAAACGACATGATACAGCTACTGGAAGGGAGTTGTAAAAAAAAAAAAAAAAAAAAAAACCTTTGTTTTGCTGATAAAGAATGCCATAAATGAGTAAAATGAGTGCATGCTCTCGATATTGGACATGTCTTGCATCACAGCAATAAATGGGAATATTGAGAAAGAGTATTTGAATTATACTAATGAAAAGTTGGCCTTCTAAACATAAGATTATACATTTGCTATCAAATTAATTTTTTTTGACAATTTTTTGGCAAACAAAATTGCCAAGAAATGTTTGACTATATGTATTATCAGTTTTTGGATTGCTTTCTAAAGCCAGCATGAATAAATCCATAATAACAATGAAGAACATCCATAATTTAATATGGCCACTGACTGGGTTAAGTCTGAGCATATTGCAGTCATTATGTCTCCACGTTATTATTTTCCTCTGGTTCTAAGGATTCTTCAGAGTCTTCAGGGATGGGCGTACTCGCTCTGTGGACGGTGTGTGGTAGATTGGCGTGAGAATGACACTCTCTTAGTAATGCCTGATAGTGCTCCTGTGGAATGTTGATGTGCAAAAAGAGAGAGAAAAAAGATTTTACATGAGTTGCATTGCCCTGTAAGAAAAATGCTTGGTGATTTTAATATAATATTTTGATGTAAAACAAAATCTGGTATCTATGTTCCTTTCTGTTGCTTTCACACACAGACAAGCATGCATTTACACACACACACACACACACAAACATATCGTACACATAAAAGTCCAAGTAAATACACATTGCAAAATTTTTGTAAATTATAAGGATTCGACAACTCCCCCCACCTTCTCCATGTGCACCTGCAAACAAATAAACATATCAAACTGTAAACCCATAAAAAATAATAATAAACAAATAGAATAAAAAAAAAAAAAATAAAAGAACCTACATCACTGTTAATTAAGATGATCCTCCCTTCCACTTTGGGAGCCAGAAACTCCTCTAAATGTTCCAGCTCCATCTCTTGTATACTGGCCTGGCGGACCAGTGAGATCTGGGAACGGATACCGATGGAGTCGTGAATACTGGCCTGTCGCACCAAAGATGCACGTGATGGGTGTGCGCGTGGTTTGGAGCTGATGGTGGCGACGTTGACCACGGGGGAGTGGTCATCCAGGCTGTCCTGTCGCGACAGCTGGCGTATGACGTTGGCGGGTGTGTCGTGTTCTGGGAAGTGAGACATGTCCACAGAGATGCTTTTTCTCCTGCGAAAAATTATGAAAAAAATATGTGATAAAAATGAATGAAAAAGAATTAAAAAATGTCCCAGTATTTTACTGCATTACCATCAATTAATTCAATGTGAACAACATAGCAGGTTTACACATACACATATAAATTTTAGAAATCATCTTATATTGAAGCATAACAATTATTAAATCATATTACCAGACAATGAGTACTCTTTATTAGAGGCAAGCTGACTGATGACATTAATTCCATCCAAGAAATTCCTGCTTACAGTACAAATTAGTGTAAAGCAATAGCCAGAGACGTATCTGTGAATATCTAGTGAAAAATCCATCTTGAGAAAATGATGATAAAAATGGATGACCAAAAAACGCCGCTTAGAGTATCTATAACAATTTAAATATTAAGTAGAAATAAGTATAAAGAAATAGCCAGAGACATATTTGTGAACATCTAGTGAAAAAATCACTCTGTGGCCCTGCTGGAGAGCAGACACTTGAGTTCTCCACTTAGTGATCAACCATTTTAATCATCATTTTTACAAGTCTACAAAGGATAAAATCAATCTGTGGCCCTGGTAGAGTGTAGACAATGAGTTTTCCACTTACTTGATAACACTGAAGAGGCTGGCCCTGTGGATGGACTTACAGGGTTTCTTGCCCTCCACCACCTGTACTGACGTGAAGTAGTTCTGGACTGCTGTGGCAAGAACTGGACCCTCATCATCTGCCTGCATGGTGAAACATTATATCAAATAAGACAGCAATGCTGGCAAATATACAGACACCAAACAGGAAAAAAACTGCAACAGGTTATGGCATATAATGGATGCTAAACCTTTGTACAAAAAAGCAAGTTCCCATTCCTCATCGAAGTATACCCTATCCAAAATCAATATGAAAATAATGGTCAATGAATGCTAAATTACTTGTTTTAATCATGGTCAAACGTGCAATTTAATGATCTCTACCTTTATTAAAATATAAGTTACTGGTAAAGCCAGTTATAAAGTTTATATTACATATTTTCTAAGCGAGCATTTTACACATATTTTTCAATGGAATATAACAACATAAATAATTTAAAAATAAAACTAAATCTTGCAGGAGCAAATTGGAATTAAAAAAAAAAAAAGAAAAAGGGATGCATGTTTCCACCATAAAACAGACATATACCAGTTCCAAACCCATGCCAACAACCTTTAACATCTACAGTGCATACCACACAATTCACACTGTATTAAGTGTCAAGTTTAGAGACAGTAACCCAGTTGAGAAATGTGACCAATGTTAATAAATGATAAGTAAAGGGGAAAAATTTAATGCAGTGCTTTTTTTTCTTACACCTAACACATTCCACCACAAAGGAGAGTGCCAGCAGCATTTTGTACAGTCATGTAACTAAATAATTGTACATGGCAAAATGACTAACATTAACATGATTATGGGGAAACCACAGATATTACAAAACACACATAAATAAATAAATAAATAAATAAATAAATAAAATGACATAATAATTGATATTAAATTTGCTCCTGGGAACACACATGGGGAAAAAGAAGCAGAAAAATGTTGGTTAAAAAAAAAAAAAAAAAAAGGATGCAACTACAATTGCTACACACAAACACAAAAATCGATTCTTTGTCTTCCTACACACATACAAACTTAATGCCACAATATCTGTTTACAACATCAAAAATCTAGCAGCTCTTTCACTGGGTTTGCAATTACAGTGAAAGCACGTTGAGCAGCTTATTCACAATTTTTTGTATCAGTGCTGCCTATTATAAAAGTGAAAAAACCTTTCAGAAAGTTTAAAAAAAAATGAACCTACGCGACCATGGTAACTCCTTCGTCCTATCTAAACCAGGTTATTATTATAAAAGAAAAGCAATATAATTAAGGATGCTTGTAAAATCAACTACTAATCCTAAAAGTCATGCTTTTATTGGAATTAATTAGTAAAGTAAAGTGTAATGTTAAGGTGCCCAGTTAACTGGACATTGAACTTGTTATTGTAACTGGGTTTCTGTAACTAAAGGGTGAAAATGCTATTTAAACATTACCTTGTAATGAATGAGTTACTATATAAAGAAGAACATTTAAAATTTATACAGTTATTTAAAATATAAAGATAAACATTCTGAAATGACACAGGAACATTCAGATAAAAAAAATGATCAAAGTAACTTGAAGATGAAGGAGGCAATTCAATTTTTCAAATTACAGTATCTCCAATAATTGGCTTTTGATTTCAATTTTGCAATGTTATCTGTAAAGTCAAATGTCAACTCCAACTCTTTCAAATCATATCAAATATATCTACAATTTCCAAATGCTTTTTTTTTTGTTTTGAAATGGAATAGGTTAAAATCAAACTATGTTAACTTAGTCTATGACAAAACTTGCTTTATTTAGATACAAAATATGACCCTTCATCTTAAAGCACCAGAAGATAACAATGGAATAATTATATTATTATAAAACAGTATCAGCTTTAGAAACAGTGTAAGTGTAAGTCTGAGCAATACATAATCAACAGTAACAGAAAACAGAGACAGACAGCATTTCTCAGTTATCTAAAAGTATGAAATTGAAAAAACAAGATAAATCATCACTATTAATAACTGTAAAACCCCATCCATTTTCTCAACATACAATTCACTGAATTCAATATTCTCTCACAGAAATTTTAACAGAGAATGCAAAAGAGATGACCTCCACCCCAAAACCCCTTTCTTCTGGCCTATATAAACACATCCAATTTTACAGATCGCCTATGAAATCAAGCAATTATAATATTCTTTTTACTACTTGAAAGAAATACATGTAATTCTGGAAATCTCATCTATGTCTTACCAGCATGGGGCAATCTTTGAAGACATCAAAACCATCTTTGCCCTGAGAAAGGTACACTTTTACACAAACTCTGTAATCCTGGAATATATGAGAGAATTCTCAATGATTATACATGTATGTCTTTAATAAGTTATATTCACACACACACACACAAAGACAATCTTATCAGCATGAAAAAATCAATAAGACGGTGCATCTTAGTTCTTAAAAGTCTGTAGATCTACTTTAACACTGACAATCCAAAAAATGACTGCAAATCATGATATGACTGAAATTAGACAGTAAGTGCTGACAAACATACAGACTTGCCCTGTATGGATAATCTAGTACACCTTCCTTAGTGTCAAGTAAATCCTCTTCCCTATGGTCCTGCTGTGTAAAAACCTGAAAGGCTTCCAGATGCCAAGTGTGGTAGCCCAAAATTTTTTGACAATTAATACGCATCAATAAAATCAAAGGTAGCCCAATTAAGTCACTGACAGGCAGAAACTGGTGGCCCATCCAGGCAGTCTACTAGCACAGAGCTAGGGTGGCTAGCCCTGTTCTGTACAGCACCTTTATAAGTTATAACCCTTACCTTGTCCAGTTCCAGGGGTTCCTCCTGCACCTTGACCAGTGTCCAGTCCACCCTCTGACCAGCTGGCTTCCTGGGGTCAAAGGCAAACCTGACCCCGCCCACCTGCGGGAAACGCCCCTCCAGCTTGGGGTACTGGGACACCCCGTTTTCTAGGGCCTCGATCAGCTGACGACCTAGAGCAAGTAAAATAAATAGATGAAAGTTTTAAATGCCATGACCTACATGTAGGGTAAAACTGCCAGCAAACTAGTAATTTAAAAATTTAAAGCAAAGACATATGATGTTATTTCTGCAACTTATTGAATTGAAAGTGACAACAATGAGAAAAAAAAATGGATTGATGATTCATCTGCTAATTCATCAATCAATAATATCTGTTCCCAATAATTATTTTGCACCAACTTAAAATAACAGATGAGGGAAATATCTAAGTTCACACTGATAGTCAGAGATCACTGGAAATAACAGAATGATGTAAAAATCTGTTGATGGAAGAAATCAGTTTCAAGTGACTTCTGAAACTCGGTAGGCAATGAAAGGTGCACTCACCTGTAACTTTAAGCACCACCAGAGGGTCATTGAGGGGAAGAATGCTGACGAGATCTCGCACCGTGAACTCTCCAGCAGGGTGCAGCACATCAGAGCGGAATGTGCCAGAGTTGATCAGAGCTACGTGGGCGTCTGTCACTGTTAACATGATGTCAGCCACAAAGTTACCTGGGATAAGAAGATTATTTATTCATTTTGTAGATAACACGTGCACACAAGCACATGCCTTTTTTTTACGAGGCACATGATTACACAAGTGTCTGCTAAGAAGGTACCTACTGAAACAGTAGTTAAGCAAATATTTTCCAAAACAAATTTTGTTTTGCTCAGGCAATAAATAAAATATCTTTTATTTATTTATAATTTAATTATATTTTTTGGAGGGGGAAGAGTGTGTTTTAGGCTTCGTTCACATGCAATGTCTATTTTCTAAATTTTATTTTCTATTCGCGCTATCTTATGATCACGGTCTGTGCCCTGAATATCCCGCCGCGTAATTACTGGCAGCGCGAGCCAGTTACTTATAGTAACTTATAGTAACTGGCTCGCGCTGCCAGTAATTACGCCGCGGGATATTCAGTGCACAGACCGTGATCATAAGACATACCGCGAATAGAAAATAGAATTTAGAAAATAGACATTGCATGTGAACGAAGCCTTAGTCAATGTACACATATAATTACCTTATATATTTTTTTATTACAGAGAACTCTAGTTATGATTGGAACCATGCTAAGTTCCCAAGTGTTAACTACCTAAATTAGATTCTCGTGTCCTGACACTGGAGAACCGTCCATCTAAGGGTACCTTGATGTGGCCCAGTACCATGTCCATCTCTTTGTCCAGACGAGCTGAAAGGAATAGGAGATGTAAGGACTGAAGACCCAAAGTTGGTCGTAATTTTAACAACAAAAATTTTGATCTACTTCAATTCAGGTTAAGTCTGAAGTAGCCCAGGTCATAACTATTCTTGAGACATAACTATTGGTCTTAAAACTTGCCAGTTCTTAATTTTTTTAAAACTTATTGTTGTTTTATAAAACAAATGCAGAATATATTTCTTATAAACAGGTTGGTAACCTCTTCCAGAAGTGGCACTTACCCACAAACTCATCCACCAAATCCTTCATCTCCTGATCCTCCAGAATACTGGAGTTCACTGTTAACTCCTATTTCCTAAAAACAGGTTGGTATTTACCTTTACTTTCAGATCATACTTACCTACAAATTCATCCACCACTTCCTTCATCTCTTGGTCCTCTTCAATACTGGAGTCCACAGTTAATTCCTCCACCCTGACATCCAGGTGATCTCCCAGATGGAGAGTTACTTTACCTGCCTGGCGGAAGTCTGTGCCACTTTTAATGACATATTTGCCATTGATCTGGGAAAAATGGAGAATAAAAACATGTAAATAAATAAACATGTATCTTCAAGTAGTCTTCATTAAGTCGTAAGTTTTCTTATGAAATAAGCAAAAATAATCAATCAAACACTGGCTCAATCCAGCAATCATGATACATAAACAAAGCAAACAAACAAACAAACAAACAAATAAATAGATAAGTGAAAATCATAAATACGGAAATAAAACCCTACCTGCTGCACCCCAAAGTCGTGGTCATGGCCACCTAGAATCAGATCAATCTCGTCTACATTCTCAGCCAGGCGTATATCGTTGGGCCACCTCATATGGGTCAGTGCAATGACAATGTCCACCCCTTGGTCTCTGAGGTCAGTGGCCAGCTGGCGTCCAGCGTCCACATAGTCTGTGTATGTCAGGTCATCTTTGTCCAGAGTGGCCAGTGTCGCCAACCACTCCTCCTCTACTAGACCCAGGAAACCCAGCTGGACAAGAGGTGATAATAATAATAGTAATAATAATAATAATAATAATGAAGTTTCCTGTCTAAACGAACAGTGCCAAATTAAGTTTAAAAATATCAAATTGGTGCATTCAATCTTGAAGCTAACATTTAGGTTTGTGAAGAAATACAAAAGCGAGAGGAAGAACAATTCAACTGCATGCACTGTGATATATAAGGATTTAAAATCTACATTGTTTTATCTTTACAAATCTTTATTTTAAATATTTCCCTGCACCTTTTTCCCTTTATGTTCTATCACATGTGTAACAAGTCCACTGGCCAGAGGTTTCTCTGTGAAATTATCCACCACATTACTTATCAACCATGGAAAACCTGTCTCTGCAGCTACCTCCTCCAGATCATCTATACCAAAGTCTGGAACAGAAAATATTACTTATCAACCATGGAAAACCTGTCTCTGCAGCTACCTCCTCCAGATCATCTATACCAAAGTCTGGAACAGCAAAACAATTAATGGGAAACAACCATCTACTTCAACATCTGATGAAGTTGGGACTGGAAGTACATATACCTTGTACTGGTAGTATAATATATACATGTACAGTAGGTTAAAGCTTTATAATCTGTAAAGTGTAATTATATTAAAAATACCAGTAATAATAGCTTTCACTCAAAATAGATACATATTAATCACGACAGGTAGATTGTGGTCAAGCAGAAAAAGATTAACAAAAGGAATTTTATATATACTATTATATGTGACAAAATGCATGTACAAATATTTATTATATTGACAAGCACATTTATGTTATATCATCTTTCTATTCATTTTGAATTTATTCATTCTTTTCTATTCAGTTTTATATTTCTTACCAAAATCGTGGTTACCGTACACAGCACAGTCAACATTCAGTGCCTTGAGAACTGGGATCATTTGCTTGCCTTCAGTAACACTGCTCACTGAAATACACACCAGTTCTGCCAAATCAAATTTTCCTATGTCAACTACATGTGCTACACATGCTTGTATAATAAATGGTAAACAGCAGATTAGAGCAATATATTACCAAGTTCAAAATTATACGCATATTAAATCTTCATATATGAAGATTTAATATGCGTAATATATATATATATATATATATATATATATATATATATATATATATATATATATATATATAATATATATATATATATATATATATATATAAATTTTTTCTGGAAATTTCATAGGTAACTTTTTCTGAAATTTTTCAGACTTTCTATAATTCACCACATTGAATGTACCTGTATACCATATCAAAAACTTAGTGACAAAATTCCATCCATAACTCATTTAAAGCCTTATCCTAAGTTTCTAATTTCTGAGTCACATTCAGAATGGAGATAGAAATGGTGCTTTTCTCTTGTTATGGTAATTTTGTAACTTGAAAATGGGTTTCAAAATGGTTATTTCTCAACTGTCTGACACACATTGTATGTTTATGTCTATAATCAGAAACAACATGAATAATATGCCACAAACCATGAACTGACTCAGAGACAACCAACACAAATAATCCAGGAAGTCTATTGCAATTTTGCTTTTATGATAAATCTAAGTTACTGAATTACTGAAAACAAAGATGATAAAAGCCACCTCTTAATTAACAGGAAAGCCTTTTATGTATTTAATTACCTAATTCATGCTGAAGTGCACTATTCTTCTATGTTGCTGTAACCTCTCTCATACAAAATTTATAAAATATGTGTCATGACTAAGAAAATGTTACGAACACTTGAATCTAAGTAACTTTTCTTGCCAAAGCATTTGGGGCAAACTCTAAATGCCAATGTGAATCTACAAGCAGCAACTATCAAATTCAGTCTATGATGTGAGACACCTGTTCAAGGCAAATGAGCAAGTACATTAGGAATCCAAACATGCTTACAAGTAAACATGGGATTATTTTTCAAAGTTGTCGATTCAATCAGACTATTTAATATTCTAGCAATATTTTTTCTCATGTGCTTGGAGTAGTTTATTTTGATCTGAGGCTTCCTGCTTTTAGTAACCACCAGAGTGATTTTAAGGCCTTGAGGCATAATTTAAATAAGGACTTTATATTGTGAGTTTGTCTTTACTTTTTGGCTAAAAATATTATATATGTATAATTTATTGGTCTGAAACACTAGCCATGTTTTTTCTTGTTATAAACAGACAAAGCAATTTATTTTATTGAACCATCACTGATTTAATTATCTATCTAAAAAGTTCAAAGTTGGTTTAATTTTGGGTATAAAAAATTAAGACCAATTTTTTGGCTTAAGTTCATTAATTTTGTGAAACAGGTTCTAACCTGCAAACTAATGAAACCATTATCAAAAGTGCTATTTTAAACTTCTTTAAAAGAATCAATCACATGCAGACTTACTCAAGGAAGGGTTAAGACAGTCTCCGCTGAATACAACCAGAGGGTCCAGATGTCTAAGACTTTTAAACAGACTGACCATTCTGGCCGCACCACCCACCGGCTCGGCTGTCCTGGACTGTATATTGTAGACATCATTGAAATGTAATATCACAATCTCTTCATCCATGCTGACTTTGTATTAGAAACTTCAATGGCTCCTCTGCATTTGTGAAATATAATGCGCACAGCTGCTTTCGTGTCTCATCTGAATCCAATATCTTCAGTTCCTCTGATGGTTTTGATATCTAAATCACTGTTCTGACATAGCCATGCCTTGCTGCTGTAAAAGTTGGAAAGATAAGAAGTGCCTCGTCAATTACATGGAGCTTAAAAATCAATAAACCGTCAGGAGTTTCAATGAATTCTGGAAGCCGTTAGATTGCTTTCATGTGTCAAGTGGTATTATTTGAACACAGTCTGCCACAGTGACAACAGTTTAAGGAAATGAAACATGCCAATGCAACAATAAATCAGAGTCAGCACTTGTGGGTTTCGCTATTTCTCTGAAATATTAACAGGCCATGCACGCTGAGATCTTCAAGACTTATTTTTCATCTATTTTCCTCAACAACCATGAACCTGATCAAGCTTGTCAGTTTTCGATAAAATACTGTACTCCTTGGCAAGAATATATTTTCTTCACTTTTCACATGTGCCCCATACCCCCCATAAAGGCGGTAAGGGTACCGTTAGCGTGTAAGATTAGGCCGAAATTTGAGGCAATAAAGTGTACTACATGTAGTAGACCCCATACCCGGTACACTGATACAGACAAATTAACTTATTAGTAAACCATTTACAGACCATGCATTGATAATAAAAGAACGAATAGTTGCAATTTTAACTCTACATTTGATCGATTTCATCCTTACAGAAAACCGAGAACAAAAGACATAGATCTCAAATTATACAAACCTTTACACCATTTTTCTCAAAAAGCTGTCTGCTCAAGCTCAAAACTCTCTCAAACTCCTCTTCACTTCTTGAATTCTACTATAGATGGCAGATACGTCAAGATAGGTTCCCTTTAAATTCAGATCTAATAACCATCCCTCATTATTAGATCTACTAAACGAATTCTGTTTTGTGTTAAAAGTGTACTTAAAATACAGAATAATCAAATTAAACTTAGAAGTTTTCAGTGTGAACGTGCTGATATTTTTGAAAGGTTGAAATTTTGCTGCCGCCTATCGATGAATCTGCTTACACGTAATTATACGCATGCGTGAGGGGACATTTTGGCCTGAAGTTACACTGGAATTACTGCGTGTTCAATTTCATATTTATAGCAGTATAGACTACAGCTATGGCGGTGGCTAAACAGGAACAAGTACTGCAACTTGATCCCGCCACCGAACTGCGATTTAAAGGTAAGAAAGTGCCACTTGATTGCTTTCGTCACGCTAACCTCTTGGAGAAAATGACTGGCCGCTTCTGGGACTTTGAGAAATAACGTTGAGGAAATGAATGATATCGAATGTTTGAAATAAAATGTGACCTACAATATGAATCGTAACACATTTGAATATCATCGAAAATATACAAGGAAATATATTTTCTTATATATATGTATATATTGTGTGACTGACAAACGGGAAGAGAGAAAAATCGGACAAATTCAGAGAAAAAGTCGATATTTTCAGTTTCTCAGTCCATGTTTTGTATCCTGCAACGCAAGAAAAGATTTGTCTTTGTATGAATCCATGATAAGGCGAGACTGTTGTAGATTGAGCTAATATAAGAAGAGAAAAATTACGTGACATGATATTTAATTGATAATGAGTCATAGGTTAGGTTCATAGTGCCATTAATGGGACAGGGTTTGTTCTTTGATAGTGAATATGACATTTCACCATTTTAAATTTGATAAAAGACATTTATATTTAAGTCCCTTTTTCATCATTCACCTAAAATTGTTTAATCTTGATCTTGCATTTTTTTTTTTTTTGTATTTTCCATTGTATCCCATCACCAGAGTATCATAACTCTAGCATATGTTATGAAGTAGCCACATGTGACCCACCCCCTAAATATAGTTATCTTAACCCATGTGGGATGTCATCCTGTGTTGTCACCAAAGATTAGTTGATATTATTAGGTTACTGCCTCTCTGTCTGTCACTTGTAGCCTGGTTTATTTTAAGTGTACTGTGTGTGTGTGAAAGTGACAATGTCAGGGTTATCAGTGAAGTCAAAGTACTTTTATCTGGATTCTGTCTCTGTACCTGTCAGCTGTACTACAGAATCTTAGTGGGTGGGGGTTGTGGGAAAGAGTGTTGAGTGGCGTGGGGGGAAGGTCTACAGATTGCATGTCACACTCAGAAAAATGTTCAAGATTACATTTGACTGCTTAATGGATTGTTCTTTATATCTAGGTTTTGTATCAATTTTTTTTCTGGGGATAAGGAGTGGGTAAAAGTACAAATTGTGTAACTGTAAATGTATCATTTACAATAAGAATATCACCCTGATTTATTTTTTTTTATGAGATCAGGCTGGGAAAAAATAAAATGCTGGATATCCCATAATGTTTTCATTTTCCTTTAACCCCCCCCCCCCCTCCCCCCTGAAAAATTCACTTGGATCATGTCATCTTGAAGCCTTGAACATGTAACCTAAAACAAGCTCTGGATTAAGTTGCAATGTCCATTGAGACATTCGAGTCCCTTTATAACAGAGCAGTCTTTAAAATTGTCACATATTACTAATTTTGACCTGAAGTCTTGCAGAAATAACCTCATTTCACACGAATAGGCACAAACACACACGCATATGCACACGAGAGAGAGAGAGAGAGAGAGAGAGAGAGAGAGAGAGAGAGAGAGAGATTATCTATTAGAAACTTGTCTACAGGGCATAACATATGAATCACAAACCATCACTTGAATACATAATAAACACATCCATATTATATGGTATTTTTCCAGGTCCTTTCACAGATGTGGTCACCTCAGACTTGAACCTACAGAATCCATCAGATAGAAAAGTATGTTTCAAAGTTAAGACGACGGCACCCAAAAGATACTGCGTAAGGCCTAACAGTGGCATCATAGACCCAAAGTCAGAAGTTAAAGTGGCTGGTAAGTGATACTGTTTTGTTTGTAGGAGTTGTCATTAAGTTAATGTGGTTTCTTTCAAAATAAAGAAGTGAATACAATTTGTGAGGTGTCATCTTTTTTATGTTGCTTTTCTTTGCGTGGAAATAGTCAAATGGTTGTTTATTTGATTTATTTCTTAATTCATCCATTGAATTTTAATTATTAACTACTAGTACGTAGTTATTTATACAAATATTTATCCATTAATTTTTTTTTATGAAACAACATGTGTTTAAAAGGCAGATGTGTATTTTATTTTTAAAGTCTAAACATAGACCAAGTTGGTAGGATAGTGTAGCTCCAAGCCACCTGAACCTTGGTAACTGTTATGAGTCATGTCAATTTACTTTTACTAGAGCATGAAAATAAGTATGCTGGAGAAAAATGAACTAGAAGGACTTGACTTGTAGATGCATGGAGCATAGTTATGTTGTAAATTGATACAGGTGAAACTTGTCAGTCACCGGGCAAACAATTACTAATAGTGCTGTCCGACCAGCAGTCTGATGAAGCTTGTGTATATTATCAGACTTAATTGACAGGCAATAAACAAAGTAACCACTTGGCACGTTCAGATATTTCCTTTTGAAGTGTATAAATTTCTTTGACTTTAAGTGAAGTCCAATTTATTTCATTACTATACTCTTAATTTCTTTGTCTTAGTTGAATTTGTGGAGGAAATGGTTTTTGATTACAAAAGTATTGAAATTAAAATTCCAAAACTAATAATTAATGTTTAAATTAATCATGTGGTATGTCAGGGATAGATTGATCTAAAAATCTATGGAAATGGGGTGTTAGAGTACAGCTGGTCAGAATGACCTGCAAAACCTGTCACCTGTTACCATGACTGTAAACACATATGATGGACATTCTACAAACATGATTTGAAATATGATTAGTATATCATTTATTGGGTTATAAACAGATATTCTGTAATATATATTTTTGGAGCATAGTGAGGTAAAATTATTTTATCCCCGTGCCGCCTCCCCCCTCTCCTCCCCTCCAGATCTGCCATTTGCCACAACAAGACAAAATATCTCTCATTTTACTACCTGAGAATTTGAAATCTCTCTCGATGCATATAAAGGTGTGTAGAGTATTTATGGATTAGGCTCTAAGACAGCTTTTAAAATGTCAAAGAGTGATTTCTCATTTTATCTGGGCATCTTCTCCACAGGACTTCAGTTCTGATCCACCAATCTCTAATGTGCTCTGATGTTGATATATAACTCTTTCCTGGCAGAAGACTGGTCACTTCAGGACTTACTTAGACTAGCAGTCCTATGGCACAGACTAGACCAAAAACTTGTCTTAACTTTAAGGTCAAAATAAAAAAAATTAATTTGCCCAAAGATAAATTTATCCGAAGTATTCAATATAGTAAATGGAATATTGTAGTAATTTTGTATTTAAAGTAAAAGAGATAGCAAATGTTTAAGACCAATAGAAGACCAACAGTCACTTTATTTTATGGATCAGTATTGGGTTATTTTAATTGAAATAGACAAGCAGTTTTACTAAGTTCAGACCAATCTTTGAGTTAAAAAGTAGGCAGTGCACGGATCCTAAGACTGAGTCAAGTAAGAAGTTTCTTAGTGTGAACTACGTTACAGAAAGTTGCCCACAGCCAATAAGTTCATTGATTTACAGGTTTGGCTAGGTATCCTGCAGTGTGAATAGATGAAGGTTATCAACCTTGGTGAACTTTTAAGGAGGCTAATTGATGGGGATAAACATTAAATATTACAGGAAAACATGTAATTATCTTGTTTCTGCTTGCAATATGTTTTCTTAGGAAGCTGTTTTGAAACGCAACTTTACACTCTCTCTCTCTCTCTCCCTCCCTTTTGGAATATTTTCTCAATTACTAGTAAGCACACTTGATTTTGTTGTCACTGCTTGCAATTCAGCACTCTTGTCTTGATCTTTTATTTTATCTATTTAACAAGTTTCAAAATGAACCCTTTTAACATTTTTTGAAGATCAAAACTTGCTTTTTGCAGGCGTACAAAATAATTTGCTGCCTTTACCGTTATATATTTTCTCTGCATACAGATCAAGGTGACATTTTTGTCAGAACAAAGATCAAAGTTTTTGAGGGACAATAAGATAAAAACTTATCTCAAAGCAGTGACCTTCTTGTAGTGAGCAGTACTGCAGTCCCGTCAGATATTGTGGAAGCTGCTAGAAAGTGGCCGTAAAACGGGAAGGAAAGAGCAACCTGTCAAAAATCTTGTTTTATTTGGATGAGAAAAAAATGTTGGCGATAAAAAGCCAATCGCCTTTTAATGGAAATACATACTAGTAGTGTATTTTTGGCAATACTATTTCTGTTGCTGTTGCATGTGCTTTTTTGTCGTGGTGCACTTTTTATTTGTAAATCAAATAAGTGGAAAACTGTCAGTTATCATTTGTAAACTTACAGGAATAATGAGCAGCAGTATAATATTAAGTACTACAAATATAAAGTTAATTTTAAAAAAGTTGTCATTATATAGAATGAAGATATCTCACTTTCTGTCTCTACACTACAGTATCTTTGTATCTCTTAAAATAGAACACTTCCAGCTAAAATTGCCTTGAAAACCTTTTTTTTCAAACCTTACATCAGTGTAAGCAGGGCATGTGTCATTCTTGTCTGATCATTGAAAATACAACTCTGTTGAAGAATCCCATTTACTGTAAAGCAAAATTGCATTAAACCATTCCCTTGCTGGAAGCCAAACAAAATAATATGATCTAAAAAGGTATATATATCTATAGGCAGCTTGTGGGTTTGGAAGAGGTTTGGTGTAGGCGCAGCAGGTACTAAAAACCTTCATGTTGCCAAGAAATGTTCTTAATTTTTTTTTTCAAGACGAATTTCCAGGAATGAACAATTTCCTGTAGGTTAATCAATGTTCAGAACTGTTTTCGCAGCATTTAAAATGATAATTTGTGAGTACCTGAGGGCATATTTAAACTAGAAATAAACAGTCTGCTTTTGACTGAGTGAAGAATGACATATATAAAGATAGATGGGTGATGTTGTGATGACAGACACATTCTTGTTCCAGCACCAGTTGGATTTCCATATGAATTATTATAAGAATAAATGTGTATGATGGGCACTGAGTAGGCCTGATAATATAGATGTCGAGTTAATGATGTTAATTGATGGAAATTTTTGATTTGCTTTATGATTTAAAGCTCAAAATGTTTTGAAGTTGCATAGTTTTTTTTTTTTTTTTTTTTTTTTTTTTTTTTTAGAAATTTGCAAATATTTTAAATATTGTTAATTGGGCTTCAGAATGTTGAAATCAAGAAGATACATAAATGATGATGCTTTTGTTTAGGACAAAATGGTTTGTTTGGGTTGTAAGGACATTTTTTTAATACATTGTCTTTTAAGTGAACACTAATGAAAGTTTCATTTACTGAGTATATGTTTAGTAATATTTGAAATGTGGAATACGTAATAGTAAAGATAATGCATCTGTAACATCTGTTGGATTCTGTTAAGCATATCTGATTGATGAGAAAGGTTATATTGATGTTTGTCAATTTCATTCACGTAGAAATGCAATAAGATTCCTTATCCAAACAAGCTGATTGATTGTGAAATGACATGCATGGGAAATAAGTCCGGCTTTCTGAAATTCCCTTGAAAAATTCAATTAGTAATATGCAAAATTGAAATATGCAAAATTGATTGTTAACAGGTTTGCTTGGATAGAGAGCCTTGCTGTCCGTACTTGCCTAGAAATTTCAATTTGGGTTGGGCTTAGAAGATGTAGAATTGAGATAAAATGAGCTTAAAAGAAGAAGAAAAAAACATGAAGAAAATGTACTAGTAATGACATGATGTTCATATACCTATGGCTGAAGGATAGGAACTTAAAGGTCAAGCTATTTCAATTCTGCTGAGGAATATTGAACTCAGTGTTTTACCTCATACCTTTAGAGAATGTTTATGTTTGATGTTAGTTTGGTTTAACATGGAGACAAGCTGCTTGGTATTTTGAATGGCAGTTGCCCTCAAGGTGGCTTGTTCAACAGGCATTTTGAAAAAAATTTAAAAGCTTAAATTTCAAATGAAGTTGCCATTAGCTTCCCTCTCTCTTTTGCTCTTTCCTTGTCATTCTCATCTCCCTGTCTTCTTTCTTCTCTCTCCTATTCCCTCGCTCTCTCTCCCAGGTTCTTTTCATCCCTTCTGCCTTTCCTCTGTCTTTTGTTCTCACCCTGTCATTCTCACCCTTCCCATTCTCCCTCACTCCATCAAGGTCTCCCCCCCCCCCCCCCTCCCCCCCCCCCCCCCCCCCCNGCAAATTTCCATTCCCTTTTATCTCCAAAACTGGCAGAGATGTGCCCGGTGTTGCCCCTAGGTTTTCTCTTTTGTCAGCATATATGCACCACTGACAGCACATTTTAAGGAAAACCTATAGGCCTTTTGTCTAGAGAATCACAGGAGTGATCAATGGTAGGAAAATGCAGGTCAGTTCAAAAATCTGCTTGATTGTACCATTTTTATTTATATTTTTTGGCATATTTTGAGAACTCTTGTTGATTGCATTTTATAGAGCTTGTCAAGCACAAGACTGGTGATGTTGTCCCAAAAAAAAGGGACAACATCACCAGTCTTGTCAAGCACAAGACTGGTGATGTTGTCCCTTTTTTTTTGGGGGGGGGGGGGGGTCCATACGAATGCGCTTACTCCAGCTGGTGGTACAATATCCGGAGGCGGTATCGCCTCTCTGATCCTCTAGTTGAAATTACAACTCTGCTGAAGAATCCCATTTTACTGTAAAGCAAAATTGCATTAAACCATTCCCTTGCTGGAAGCCAAACAAAATAATATGATCTAAAAAGGTATATCTATAGGCAGCTTGTGGGTTTGGAAGAGGTTTGGTGTAGGCGCCGCAGGTACTAAAGTCCTTCATGTTGCCAAGAAATGTTCTCAATTTTTTTTTAAGACGAATTTCCAAGAATGAACAATTTCCTGTACGTTAATCAATGTTCAGAACTGTTTTCGCAGCATTTAAAATGATAATTTGTGGGTACCTGAGGGCAGATTTAAACTATAAATAAACAGTCTGCTCTTGACTGAGTGAAGAATGACATATATAAAGATAGATGAGTGATGTTGTGATGACAGACACATTCTTGTTCCAGCACCAGTTGGATTTCCATATGAATTATTATAAGAATATATGTTTATGATCGGCACTGAGTAGGCCTGATAATATAGATGTCGAGTTAATGATGTTAATGGATGGAAATTTTTGATTTGCTTTATGATTTAAAGCTCAAAATGTTTTGAAGTTGCATAAGTTTTTTTTTTTTTTTTTTTTTTTTTTAGAAATTTGCAAATATTTTAAATATTGTTAATTGGGCTTCAGAATGTTGAAATCAAGAAGATACATAAATGATGATGCTTTTGTTTAGGACAAAATGGTTTGTTTGGGTTGTAAGGACATTTTTTTCAGTACATTGTCTTTTAATTGTACATTAATGTAAGTTTCATTTACTGAGTATATGTTTAGTAATATTTGAAATGTGGAATACATAATAGTAAAGATAATACATCTGTAACGTGTTGGATTCTGTTAAGCAGATCTGATTGATGAGAAAGGTTACATTGATGTTTGTCAATTTCATTCACGTAGAAATGCAATAAGATTCCTTATCCAAACAAACTGATTGATTGTGAAATGACATGCATGGGAAATAAGTCTGGCTTTCTGAAATTCCCTTGAAAAATTCAATTAGTATCATTGAAATATGCAAAATTGATTGTTAACAGGTTTGCTTGGAAAGTAAACCATGTTGTCCATACTTGCCTAGACATTTCAATTTGGGTTGGGCTTAAAAGATGTAGAATTAAGATAAAATGAGCTGAAAAGAAGAAAAAAAAACATGAAGAAAATGTACTAGTAATGACATGATGTTCATATACCTATGGCTGAAGGATAGGAACTTAAAGGTCAAGCTATTTCAATTCTGCTGAGGAATATTGAACTCAGTGTTTTACCTCATACCTTTAGAGAATGTTTACGTTTGATGTTAGTTTGGTTTAACATGGAGACAAGCTGCTTGGTATTTTGAATGGCAGTTGCCCTCAAGGTGGCTTGTTCAACAGGCATTTTGAAAAAAAATTAGAAAGCTTAAATTTCAAATGAATTTGCCATTAGCTTCCCTCTCTCTTTTGCTCTTTCCTCTTTCCCTGTCATTCTCATCTCCCTGTCTTCTTTCTTCTCTCTTACTCCCTCACTCTCTCCTCCAGGTTCTCTTCATCCCTTCCACCTTCCCTGTATCATTTTTTCTCACCCTGTCATTCTCACCCTTCCCATCTCCCTCGCTCCCTCCCTCAAGGTTCCCCCCCCCCCCCAACTCTCTCTCTCTCTGTTTTCAAATGATGCGGTTTAGTCTCTTTCCGATTTAAATTGTTCCTGATGTGAACATACTTTACTAACTCTGCAAATTCACTTTTGCCTAATCCTGGCAAGCTTAGTGGAACAGAGAAGTATTGGGGGTGGATCAGGAGGGACTGATCTTCAATCACTGATTATACAGACAGTTGTCCAGAGTGGAAAGCTTGCAGAAGAGCAATGCTCAGTGGTTTAGGATTAGGTTCAGTCATGATGATTGATGAGTAGAAGAAGAAAGTTGATGATATGAAGGTTGTGATGGAGAATGGTGGG